TGGTCTGACTCTGAAGATCAGACTACACGCTTGGCGAATGGTGTTCGGTTCATTTCTGGCTGATTCCAGGTTGTTTAGCTGTTCTTCTGTCTCAGCTGCCGACTGAAAAGCTGCTCAGTGGTGATGACAGTTTGGGAATTTAGTGTCGTCTCATCTTCAGAGTCTGACCAAATCGGCTGTCGGTCAAATGTGATCTTAAAAGTGTCCATTTTCTGTTTGTGGCAAAGTAAGAAGTAAAAACGTTCAAACGGCTTGAGCGTCTCCTACAGCTGTCAAAGTCGTTGCTTAGCAACGGCGTCTCAGCGGAGTGATACAGTGTTTGTGAAAAACCCCGTGATGTTATGGTGAAATAACTCTTCTCAACCAATCAGCTCGCGTGGCCGGAACTAACTGTTTTATAAATGAACCCATTAGCTGGTGCCTGACATACAGATTCCTAGTGTGGGTATCATACTGAATACACTGGACATGTTGGGGGGAACAGTGTAAACTTTCTGCCCGTTTCAGTTTTAACATGCACTTGTCCGCTTGTCCTCACCATGTCCTCTCGGAGGAATCCCTGCTATCATATAAAAGGCTGTTCCACTACAGTATAGTGTACTGTAATCTGACACATTTCCCTTTTCAAACCTGAGAAAGTGCTGGACGAAGCTGTTTAATATTAAAAACAATACTGTGAAGTGCTTAATATTTCAGAACCAGAACATTTGTTATGTTCAGACTGAGTTTTAAGCAGCAACTGTCATCTTTTTACTCTGCTAGCTTGCTAGTTAGCAAGCTAATGGCCACACAGCCAACAACACCACATAATAAAGGCAAATCACCAGTTTTTAACTAAAGCTTATAGCCAGACAAAGCAGTCATTTACAAAACAGATGTACATTATGTACATTATCTCTTATTAAACGCTCTGCATGGCTAGTCGATTAGCTCCCTGTAGCTAAACTAGCCGCTCTAACTGAATAACCCGCTCCTCGCCGTCTCCTCCTCCTCTTGTGCTGTGAGCGGTCACTTCTGGAGAGTCAAATTTGGTGAAGACGTGCTAAAAAACAAGTTTTGGATACCAAAGATACTGATTTTTACAAATCAAAGAGGAACACAGACCAAAAGCAGGCTTTAGCGCTCTCTGTAAATGAGGCTACTCAGGCTCAGGTTTGTTCATGGCATTTAATGAAGATAATGAAGATTCAGATCTTTTGAACACTGGAAGCTGAATCATCTCCCAGCTAAAAGAAGGTTCACAGTCACGCACTCACTCATTCTATAGACATGTATATGAAAAAAAAAGAAACAGGAACACTTTTTATTGCTGAATTCACATTCCTGGTCCAACAAAGGACACCTTGAATAGTTTGAACTTGAGGGGAAACAGCTTCTGACTCACCAAGTGCGATTTCTGTGAAATCTGAAGTTAAAAAGGACATTTAACTGTCTCGATCTCTTATTTGTGCATATAAGAAAGAGGAGCAGAATCATAAGAAGATCATTTTAAACGCCGATTTTCCAGAAGTCTTTTATTCTCCAATATCTACAAGTAGGCTTTCTTATTGCAGAGGATCTTTAATGAATAGGCCAACTTGTATTTCTAGTGTTTTATTAAAAAAAAAATGATAATAAAAACAAGCTTGTGTTCTGAATAATTCCAATTTACCAGTCAGAAATACTCAAAAGAATATAAAAGTGCATTGGCGTGGAGTATTGTGGGTTAATTAGCCGAATGCATTGGCATTTATACTCTCTACAAAAGCAAAAACCTAAATATACTGTGGTTCTGACTTTTTCTGGAGTGAATACATTATCATGTGCTACTACCTTGCCATCCCTAAACCCGGTTATGGGTTATGGGGCGGCCTAGCAGAGCTAACGCCAATAAACTGCACTGTTTTCAAAAGCTCTGCTAACGGCGGGTCAGGAGGTCATTTACAGGCTTATGGAGCTTAGAGAACATGTTGTCAGAGTTTTTGTTGTCCGGTTTTCTCAAACGCTAGAGGGCGCTCCCGAGTGAGTCCAAAATGAATGGGTTTGTATGGAGCATTTGAGCAAAATCATAGTTTATAAATGCTGAAACATTTTTAATGTAAAAGAATACAATTGATTTCCTGAACACAGAGCAGCATAAAACATTTTAACACTGCTGTTATATTTTTAAGAGCTTTTAAACTCGAGCTATAGGAGTTTAAAACGGTGCCTCATGTACGTTCATGACGTCTGTGATCGCGAACAGCCAATGAGCTTCTCTGCTCACCAAACAATCAGCACTCAATAGCAGTAATGCTCGCCTTCTGCTGCCCAGAACCCGTTTGTTGTAGAAAAAAGGAAATATACAGGTAAGATTTCTTTGTTTTTTTTAGTGAAATACATCCTTCTACTTTCTAAAATTAAAGGAAAGTTCTGGGCGAGTGATTAGAAACTATTTTAACTTGTCATTTTTAGCCGTTGAGCTCCATTTACTCATTCATTCAGGACTCACTCGCAGGCGCCCTCTGCTGTTTTGCAGTCATGTTTTTGATATAACGGGGGAAATAAGAAGTGGCCAATCTCCTCATAAAAAGGCTCTGATGTTGGCAACTTTCTCAATGGGAAGAAAGAATGCCATTTTTGAAAACTGCTGCTATTGCACCCTGTGTTACACAAAAAGGTCCAAACCCGATGCGCTTTGCCGTAAAGACATTTTTCCCCTGAATGCCACCAGCTCTGGATTACGAGGTCATTATGTAGTCCACATACAATGCTAGCAAGCTAACACTGCTGCGCACTGAACTGACATCATAAGAATTGCAATCTCTCTAAAGTTCCCAGCATGCTTTGTCCAGTGTGCTGGTTAAGCTGCTTTAGCAATAGCAGTCTATAGTATAGTATAGTATAGTGTAGTATAGTGTAGTATAGTATAGTATATATAACAGCTGGTGTTACTGAAATTAGTTAAACCACAGTATTAAACTTCATGTGACATCAGTGCACAGGAGAGTTAGCAACATCCACATTTCGGGAATTTGATTGACATTTCAACATTTCCACATAACAATCATTAAGACGTAAACAAAGTGATTCAGAGTGGTTTGGTGTGAAACGCTCTGTTCTAGAGAAACTCAGAACTGTTCACAGTGGTGGTGATAGGAACCAGACGTCTGAAGAGTTTAATGCCTCTGAAAGCTTTTAAAAATCCATTTATGATACATACATGCAGTGCTTTATAAGGCAAAACAGTTCCCAACCTTTTTTTCTCTTTAGACTTACCACTATTTTACCATTAAGACACGTAGGTTCCCTGGTGGTTTTGGAGAGTAAATAAAATGGCTTTATTTATGTTGAACCCCTGGTTCTCATCACCGCTACTGTAAAGAAAGTCATTCTGTTTCTCTACAATGAGCCATTTCACATCAAACCACTCTGAATGACATCTCAGCCACTGAGTTAAGCAGAGGTTGTATAAAAAAAGTGGGAGTAATCAGTTCGTAATTCAGAGGATTCGGTGATTCAGCGGAAAAATGTATGAAGGACAGAACGTAATGGCTTTGGATCATTTTTGTTTAGCAGAGGCTAAACAGAGCAGCAATTTCTGAAAACACCATTCACTTTTCCCCACAGACAAAATTAGACTTCCGACGTCTACGGGTGTGAAAATGCTTGCTGGTGATGAAGCTAATAGTACAACGTACGCTTTTCTGGAGCACTTATTTTTGGTTTTTCTTTGCTGGACAGCTCCTTTAAGCAACTTCAGCAGTCAATGTGCATTGCATGTTTTCGTTCTTCACTGGTGACAAAATTTTGAAACCCTCGCGAACCTTATTACCTCGCCTAGCGAGTCACTTTGTCACACTTGGCGCATTCTCAGAAAAACACGTTCGCGAATGTATGAAAACTTGGTGAGCGATGCATGCTAATACGCTAACGAGAGTGGGGCTTAAATCAGGCCTAAAAATTTGAATTACGAACAGCTGCACATTCTTTCCAGGGCATTTAGGGACGAGCGAGAAGGGGCAGACGCATCCGTCCAGAAGAAAGCAAGGGGAAAAAAACTGTTTACATTGTCCCAGAGTACAGCCATTTTAGACCATTTTGGAATAAAAAAAGGACACAGATGGTCGGGACTCGTCGAAAATGTGCCGTTCACGTTCACATTCTTGCTCATGCCGCGTTGTGCGTGTTGAGAAAGAAGCTGTGTAGAACAGAGCTGTTCGTATAACAGGGTGGGGATTCCACCACAACAAATGCCCTGGAAAAAAGTCTGATTCCATCATTTAACATCCAAAAAAAGCTATCAGATAAAACATCCCACTAGCCAGTGTAGCACTGGATAGTTATAATTTAAAAAAAGAAACATACAAAGCATCTCACTGACCTTCAGAATGACTTAGTCTGTACTATAGGATACACCAAAGATAAAAAACCAACAAAAAAAAGAATAAAAACCCAAAAACAATATCCTTATTATGACGTTGGCCTACAGGCTTTAAGAATATTGCTCAGTCTGACCAACTTCAGAAACCAAAATTAGGGAAAAGGTGGGTGTGGAGATCACGCATCAGTGCACCTACACAACTCTATAAACTCGTAATCATAGGAGTACAAACAGATGTGCAATCCAGGACTAGAGTGTTATTCATCAAAACGGAAAAAAAAGACACGTGTATAAAAGAAGAGACAGTAATAAATAATTCAAATTGTTAAAAATCCCTGGGTTTCGCGCCCAGCTCCTCAGAGAGATTTGGGTCGAGCTAGATTCCCGACAGCCTGCAAGGCTGAAGGTGACCTTCGAAAAAAAGAAAAAAAGCAAAAAAAGCAAAAAAAGCACAAAAAACAAAAGAAATTCACAAACAAATCATTCAAAAGAAACGCACAAAAAGCGAAAGCAAAAACAGACTCACATCCCCTCCCAAACAGCTCCTCAAGCAAAGCCCTTCCTTATTTCAATATTCCTTATTTAAATAATGCGCTTGCACAATTAAAATATCCTATTTAATAACTCGGTATAAACACAATGTACATTTCGTGGAGACGCGCAAACTAAAAGAAGTCTGCGCTCCACGCTTCACAGTTTGCTGCGTACAGTCTGTACAGTTCGGATGCGCTGGAGATGGCCGGGTGACCAGCAGAGGGCGCTGGATGAATGGATATTGCACAAGAAACCCAGTTTTGTCTGAGCTGAAGCTGTGCCATGGCAGGCTGTGGGCTGAGCGCCACCTCCTGGCAGAGACCAAATGAATTTTTTTACGGCCGGAGAGACAGTTTTCTTCAAATGGAGCGTCGAGAGTCCAGTGTATCAGTGAAAACAGGCAGGAATCAGGAAGAGGGAAAGGAAAAGTGTGGTAGGAAAGGCCATTCCAGTTCCTTCCTACACCCCGCCCTCACCACAGATGCCTAATGTGATGGGAAGTGTAGCATGAGAGTCTAAGCACTGACACCCCCTAAACACCCCCCCTAAAGAAAAGCCCAGGGTTTACCCAGGTGGTGCTTTGCTACTGTGAGAGTCCGGGCTGGCTGGGTGGTGAGGCGAGGGGAACGTCCGAGTCTTGGGGAGTTTGAAAAAGGCATGTTTTTTTTCATCCCCTTCTCCTCGAGGACTTGGCTATTTGTGTAGATTTGGGCACCATTGACTGACCAGCACTTGTGGTTGGTAGCGGTGGAGGTGCTGCTGGAGCACTCCGGACAGTGGAGGTCTACGGTCTGTGAAACCTGCACACAAACATCAGACACCACACTGTAAATACTCACTAATCACTTTTCTGTCAAAACTGATGCTTCCATTTTCATTTTTTTGTGGCCTAAAAGAGTAAAAATGATTATTAATTTTACAGACAGTCCACTGACTCCATTATTTAAAGATCAAACAGGCCAAAAACAGTGCGTAAACATGAGGGATGCACAATCAGAATTAACATATTTTTGCTCTAAATATGCGACTGACCAATTTATTGATTAGACTTTGTCAGATCTTTCCTGTTTAATGATGTGCATAATGTGACACAGGTTAGCACTCGCACTGCTGCCACACCTGTACCAAAATACTGCAGCATAACTGCACACGACTCGTGCTAAATAGCCAGTTTCCTCTTACTTTTGATGTAGCACTTTATTTGATTCAGCTAATTTTCTGTTATTAAAAATGCCAGTTTGGCCTGATAAAGAGCAAACAGCCTTATTTACACTGCAATTTTGGCTGAAAGGCAAAGGAATTCAAAGTAAAGGAAGTAAATAAATAAAATTGGGCCAAAGTCATCAGCCAATTTTACATCCTACTAATGAGAATTGCAACTGGTTAAAAAGACACAAAATTTTTTTTCCCTGCATTTTCAATTTTGCATAGCCGGTTGAAATTTTTCCTAAAATTCTTTAGAAAAAGTATAATTTTACTTTACTGAAGAATATTTAAAAAAATATAAATAATATAATATATAATATAAAATGCATAGTAAAAATAAATGAATAAATAAATAAAAATAATAAAAATAAAATTATTTTAGATTTTTTTCCCCAAAATTCAGGACATTGTTGTTATTATTATTTACTTACTATTATTATTATTTTTTTGTTATAGATAGATAGACAGACATAGACAGATAGATACTTGGGAAAAGAATTCTAAAATTAAATATTTATACTTTTCCTTAAGAAGTTTAGAAAAAAATTAAACTGGCTGGGAATTATTTTGATATTTTCATGATGTTTTCATACATTTGTTAAAACTATTATAAAAATTGAACAATTAGGGTCTGACAAGTATAAAATTTTGTGGCTGATACCAATACCGATTTTGAGGGGCTACAAACTCCATTATCTGGTAATACTGACTGCATAACTATACATTGTTTAGGTTTAGTTTAACAGTGGTTTACTAACAGATATGATTGACAGTTCTATGCAGTCAAACTTCATAAACTCAGATGAACAACAGAAACTCACAGCTAATATAACTTACACAATATAAATACTGCCACACTGAGGATGGAGCTACACAGTTCTATTTCTGTTTAACACCTTTTAACTAAAGCTCAAGTTTGAATGCATTTTACATGTTTTTGTCATTTTAACCAACTGTTTTGTGTTCAGCTTCACAGTTGGTGACTCATATTGGGCTCCTCGCCATAAAAGGTCTTGCCTTGTCGGTTGGAGTTTGAATCCCAGTGAAAAAAGTCAAAAACAAGTGGCTTCAATTTCAGCCGATATTTTCTGCCAACCTGTCTGCTGGTCAGGCCCTACAAACAATAACCGACACCGGTGGCTTTCATAAGCGCGGCCCACGGTGTGAAATCAAAGCCTGTTAACCAGCATTAGGTGCCTTCATTCAGATTAAATCTTGCGTCACTCTGAGGAAAAGCTACGCTGAACGCTAATGAGGCCGACATGAACATGTGGCTGCTACATAAGCAGCTCCAGCACTTCATATGTGTGTTAATCCTCCTCAGGATGAGGTGCTCGGCTGCTCTAAAGCTCGCGTGGCTCTCCTCACCTGGTTAAATGGCGGCTGGATTCATGCACTTCCATCTCGTTGCTCTTGTAATCGTTGAGCTCCTTCCGTATGGCAGCCTGCAAGGGGCAAAAAAGAAGCGTCCATCAGAGAAGGACAGGAATGGTGCTGTTAGAGAAACTCTTGCATCATTCAGCTTCACTCAGAGGATTTAAATAATGCAAAACCACCCCACCTGTGATAAAACACACAGGCATGCGCCATGAACACACAGACTTTTCACATTTTTCTCTCTCTGCCTGGACTTAGTGTTGTCTCACACTCAGAACCAACGTACAAAAACATAATCATCTTTAATGGCCGCCTTAAAAGAGACAAACTCAAATATATTACAGTTCTGCCATTCAAAACTCCACAATCACTGCTGTGAATAATACAAAAGCAATATGGTAGCAGATACACAGATCACGCATAACATTATGACCACCTCCTTGTTTCTACACTCATTGTCTGTTTTATCAGCTCCACTTACTATATAGGTGCACTTTGTAGTTCTACAGTTACAGACTGTAGTCCATCTGTTTCTCTGATACTTTGTTAGCCCCCTTTTACCCTGTTCTTCAGTGGTTAGGACCCCCATGAACCCTCACAGAGCAGGTACTATTTGGGTGGTGGATCATTCTCAGCACTGCAGTAACACTGATGTGGTGGTGGTGTGTTAGTGTGTGTTGTGCTGGTACGAGTGGATCAGACACAGCAGTGCTGCTGGAGTTTTTAAACACCTCAGTGTCACTGCTGGACTGAGAATAGTCCACCAACCAAAAATACCCAGCCAACAGCGTCCTGTGGGCAGTGTCCTGTGACCACTGATGAAGGACTGGAGGATGACCAACACAAACTGTGCAGCAGCAGATGAGCTATCGTCTCTGACTTTACATCTACAAGGTAGACTGACAAGGTAGGAGTGTCTAATAGAGTGGACAGTGAGTGGACAGTGTTTACAAACTCCAGCAGCACTGCTGTGTCTGATCCACTTGTACCAGCACAACACACACTAACACACCACCACCATGTCAGTGTCACTGCCTGATCGGTGTAAATGTGTGAAATCACTGTAATGCGCTTCTGTGTAATTTTACAGACTTCAGGTATTCAGTAGGAAGCTGTACAGGAACGGAGCTGCAGATGGTTCTAAAACGACACAGAAAGCTGTAGAACACTGAGACTGAAGTTCTCAATATCCAGAATTTTTCAAAAGTGGTGATCAAACCTCGAGGCAGGTAACTCGACAAAAATGACTATAAACTGGTAATTACAGTTTAGCATTTAATATCATGTAGTTCTCAAAATACTTTTTAAAGTACAAGTAAAAAAGACGGTTCCTTCAGGGTTCTTTAGTAAAGAAAAGGTTCTATAAAGAACCATAAACACTTTAAGAACCCTTTGCCTGATTAAATGGCTCTTTGCATCATGAAAGATTTCTTCAGAATGTGTTGTAGATGGTTCTACATGGAACATTTTTGAGAAGGGTTCTAAACAGCACCCAAAAACGTTCTTCTATTGTTACGATGTCAAGCTTGTAACAATAGAAGAACCCTTTTGGGTGCTATATAGAACCCTCCTCAAAAAGGTTCCATGTAGAACCATCTCTAGCACATTCTCCATCAATCTCAAGAAACATTTGATGCAAAGAACCATTCAATCATGCAAAGGGTTCTTTGAGTATTCATGGTTCTCTATAGAACCTTTTCTGTTACTAAAGAACCCTCGAAGAACCATCTTTTTTAAGAGTGTACTTTTGGTGTCTAGTTTGTAGTAAAACCTGTATTTGAGTTATAATTATTTTACTGCAGTTTATTATTGTACAGTATGGTGCAAAAGTCAGTTCATTTCCAGTCAAAACTGACATTAAGTATTAATTTATTTATTTTTGGGAGAGATTTCTGAGAAAATTAGATCCACCTGCATAAGGAAGGACAATAAGTTTAAAAAAAAAGGTAAACGATTAAAATCTAGACATTATATTCAGTTATTGAGGTTTCTGTGTGATGTTCAGTGAAATATGTTTCCTGCTTTTGTTCCTGACGCTGAAAAATTAACAGTTTGTATTTTTGACAGGAAATTCAGTAAATAAGCACTTCTGCGCTGTATTTAAGAGATTCACTCAGTAATGCAGGATTCCAAACTTCACAACAGCAGTGTATTTACTCAAAGGATATGAAGTGAGCTGTTAATGGGGAAAAACATGTTCTTTAAACTATAGATATTATTGTTCTTTACATATCTAGATGAGAGGGAAGGGTCTCTAGACTCTTATTAGTACGTTGATGTTTAACATACTAATAAGGGGGCTTTACATAACCAGACCTCACACTGCTCAAACCCTCACGCTGCTGCTAGGTGCTGAGCGCTGTTTCAGGGTGAATTTTTTACAACATTGCACCGAGCCTGTGGGAGGGGCTAAACACAATAACGGCCTTTTTTTTTTTATCTCTGATATCCCATTCAGCATGTTCCAAAAAAATAAAAAAAAAATAAAAAATCATCAGCCAATTTTGCTCTGACCATAAGCATTTGTGATCGACACATCCTACAATGAGAATGACAACTGGTTAAAGACACTAAGGTGCAGTTATTGCTGATGAATGTAATGGTACCAAAACGCATAGTAAAAGAAAGAAAAACTAAAATAAAATAATGGAAAAAATGTAATTTTATATTAACACAATACAATTGTTTTCCATAATTTCAGTCTAGTTTATTTTCTTTGTACTATTTTTTTATATCCCAGTGTGTCCTGAATTATTACTATTATTATTATTATTTTTTTATGGAATTCTTTTGGAAAATTATGATTTAACTTCCCTGAAAAATTTTAGAAAAAAAAACAACTAACGGTTAAAATGCAGAGTAAAAAAATAAATTAATTGATTTTTTTCCCCAACATTCAGGACATTTTGAATACTTTTATACACAAATTCTAAAATTAAAAAATTCTACTTTTGCTCAAGAAAAACTGGCTAAGAATTTTTATTCTGATTTAAAAAAGGTTTCTGCTAATACCAGTATACCAGTCCAGTACTGATACCGGGTATCAGATCAGTGCCATCTCTAGTAAATTAATCACTATAAAGAATCCTGGTCAAACCTGAGATTTCTCTCTCTCTCTCTCTCTCTCTCTCTCTCTCTCTCTCTCTCTCTCATTTAAATTCTGCTCCACAGCCAAACTGCCACAAGCACTCCGCTGTTTACACGTTTCATGATAAAAACAAAAGAACAAGGGGGGAAAAAATAGAAGAAAGAATAAGAAGAGACAGTGAGAGAAAAACAACCAGAGAAACAGAGAGCTGAGCCGCGAGACACTGAGCGGCGTGTTTGAAGTAGATAAGCTCAGAAACGAAGGCCGGCCGCTGAGACTTCCTGTCTCTTCCCATTGTAAACAAAATGCCAGTCGTCTCTCGGTAACATCACAGGTGAAGAGTGTCCTTCTGCAAAAACACTCCCTGCTCTATTCAGCCACACTCACTCCGTTCTGTTCCAACACCTTCCTCGCTGCAAAACAACCCGACAAACCAAAGCAAGAGTAAATTGCCATGGGGGAACAGGGTTTTTACAGCCTATACAAGAAACTTACGAGCAGTCGGGCCCTCGAGGTTGAGAAGAACATTTAGCACAAACAAGAAACAAAACAAAGCCAAATAAACAGGAGTGGTACACGTTAATTAGCGATTAAAACAGTTTGTAAGCAGTATTCTGTGTATATCCACTGGATAATCAACGTTTTAATTTGTCTCACCCATTTTCTCACACAATCGACTATTCTTCACTCTGTTAGCACCGACTTACGTGAAGAACTACAACAGTTGCTGCGACCGAAGCCCAAATCATAGCTGGGATGTTATACGAAGTGATGTTTTCTCTCTTATTGCTTTTTTCCCCACACATAAGTATTTTTCACACGTATTTCATTACACGTAAGTATTTTCCTAAATAAGCTTTTTTCATAATTATATTCTGGGTGCTTCTCTCACTACAGTAGGCTGGACAGCTCAGCAGACAGCTAACAGGCTTCGCCAGTAATATTCAGAGACAGGCTTTACTTTCGCCCCCTATAACACTCACTAGCCTGCAACTGTTTTGATTTTAGTTAACTTTTCAATGATTTTTGGCATTGTTTCATTTTTTATTCTGTTCTTATTCATTTTAATACTGCCAAGCTGTTGTTTTACATCTTTATTAATTTATTACATTATGTTTTTATTTATCCCTATTTTATCTTATTTATTAAGTTACTATATTGTTGTAAGTTTGATGTTTTATTGTTTTTTATTACTATTATTTATTACTATTGCTATTGTTTTATTACCATTATTTTATTTTTATTACTACTATGATTATTATTACTTTTTAGCATTTGTTATGTTTTTAGTATTTACCTTCTCAATCTCTGATCTCTGTATTGGCTCAGCTACACTGTAAATGAGGGTCTCCCTCAATGTACTCCAAGTTTAAATAAAGGTTGATTGACTGACATACACGTCGCTGTTGTCGGAAGAAAACCTCGTATCTCCAAAATGGTCACTTTACAGGAGAAGGAAAAAATATACTTTACTTTTAATGGAAGTCAATGGAACCAAACTTTACAAGCCATTCTGGGCCGTTTCTTTTGGTCCATTCTTCATGAAATTTAGATACAATGTAAAGAGCATTTCAGGTATTTTCAAATTATGTCAAAAACTGAAAAACGACAAAAATGGAGATACGAGGTTTTCTTCCGAAAACAGCGATATGAAAAAATTGTCCATTACAAGCTTCAAATGTCCATGTTCAAAACAAATGCCACAAAATGTAAATTTAATCACAAAATGCCAAAATAATGATTGTTATCAACAACTAAATGTTGAAAAAAAAAACAGCAAACAACAACTTGTAAGAAGAAAATCGAAACTAAGCCACTGTGTTGGAGGAAATATCAAATTTACACATTTTTTTAGCCAAGACATGTTTGAGATCTGAGGTTTGCCTCTTTAGTTTAGCATTGGAGCTGCAACTAATGGAAGCTCATGTACACCAGTTACAGTGCACAGTGTAAACAAGCCTAAATCACCAACTATTATCTGTATAAATGAACAGAAGTACATTGTAGAGCTTAAAACAAAACTGCACCCATTTTTTATAAACAACAGTGTTTTAGTGTGTAATTGGTGGAATACAAGCTTCCATTGCTTGTTGGCTACATTAGCCTTGTAGCTCCAGTGCAAAGCTAAACTACAGCCTTTGTCACTGTTGAGCTCCAGGAACACAGGTTCTGAAAAGTTCACTGCTGATCCGATCACTGCGACTTGCCTTGTCTGCAGCGGTCAGGCGGGTCCAGGGTTTGTCGGCCCGCCGGTCGTAGTCCTGCGCGTCAGCCACTTCCACGTAATCACAGAAGCGGATGAGGATCTTGGCCTGTCGCAGTTCCTCCACTGTGGGCCTCTGGCTGAGCTACAAACACACATAGATTCACACATCACGGTTTGTACATATGCATCCAAACCTTGAGAAAAACATGTAATAACACAAAAAGAAAGAATAATTTTTATGATGATAACTAATTAAAAAGAAGAAAAATATTAACAGAAACCAAAATTGTAACCCAGTCCATGTAGCGCTGGTCGCTCTAGTCCCAGGACTACAACACACTCTTTAAGACTGTAAGATTCTGTTGTTTAAATGGTTTAAGAAGTGTTAAAATAGAGGACTGACAATCAGGTCAGTCCATAAAGCACCGTTTAACTTAAAATTAAAATCTAAAACTTCAATTTTCAAACTATATTTAATCATACCGGCCAATATTATCAGTTATCTGATATTTATCTGAATTTTTTGCCCATTAAAACCAGAATCATCAGGCCCAAATCAGAGATTTACACTGCTTTTGACAACAACTAAAAAAAAGCAAGAAACACCAGTTAGCATAATGGCTAATGTGGTGCTCATTGGCTTTCATTCATTATTAGCCACTTTTGCATTTCTGGGTAAATATTCCTTTAATCAAGGAGCCCAAAGGCAGCCAGTCAGCTGTACTGGACAAACGTAAGCAGAGCTCACGAGGAATTACGTGCAGCCGAGACTGGTTGTTCTTTTCAGTCAAAGAACAGAAGATAATAATCTTTCGAAGCTCTTTCAAAAAGTCCTTTGTAACAAGGAGCAATAATGCGCACTCATCGTCTCGCGGCGCTCCGATGAATCATTTCATATCAAAGGGATACATACGGCCCTTTGAGGTGAGCTACTTGTGAAAGCCATAGCGCAATTGCTTAGCAACAGACAAACTGCCAAAAGCCAGACTGGACGTTTGTATCTGTCTGGATCTTAACTTTAACTCAACTCTTGAAATATTTCAGTGTAAAATAGAAAATTTTCATCAAAGGAATAACTCAGTGCAAAAACGCATCACACGTTTTCACCCCTTACTACTAACATATTCGATCAGCCAAGACATGTTTGGTGTCTGGAGTTTGCTTCTTTAGCCTAGTACTGGAGCTACGAAGCTAATGTAGCAAGTTATGGAAGCTTATTAATTGGCATTGCGCTGACCGCAATGCCAATTAATAGTTTGTTTTCCAAAATAAAAGTCTCTGTACATTTAAAATCTGCCTGAGGAGATTAAAAATTAGTTAGATCTTGTATGCAGGACAGTAATCTGGATGGTCCGAGGGTGGACCAGCAGTGGCAAACAGTCAGCGGGGTGCCGACCTTATCAAGCCAGCGGAGCGATATATGCTCGCTATCTGGGAAGGAGCACGAGGGGGTATTCAGCAAAAGTTCAACAAGTTGACCAATTTCCTGGTCCACCTTACCCCGAGATCAAGACAAGGCTGAGTCCAAATAATGTTGAGGCAGAAAAAAAAGGCCGTCAAAATGATGTCGAGACCAAGATGACCATCATAACGATGTCAACACTGAGAAGAGACCATCAAAATGATGTTGAGAGCGAGACAAGACCGTAACTACGATATTAAGACCGAGACAAGACAGTCAAAGTGATGTCGAGACTGGAACTGTTAATTTAAGACTACAAACTACAACACCAGGTTTCGTTTGAAGCCTGAATTCTGTCAGTACTTTTGTCCATTTGGTCAGAAACCAGATAAGCAAGTCTATTTGAGATGGAAATTACTTATCAACTCAATGTAGTTTGAGACAAGTGTGTGATGATTAAGGCAGGCGGTTAGCATGATGCTAATTGCAGTAAATAAGCTTTCATTACCCGTTAGCTACATTAGCCCTGGAGCTGCAGTTCTGCACATATCTTGGCTGATACCTTTAGGGTGAGGGGAGAATTTTGTAAACCAGATCTTTCACCAACCCACTCGTTTAAGCACTGAGGCTAAAGTTAACAATGCCGACTCACCTTGCGCGTTAGCCTCCGTTTGATTTCCCTCTTCTCCTCCAGCTCCTCCTGTTCATTCCGCGCTGCAGAAAATGAAAGCAAAAGAACAGAACACCTGCCATTTATTGGTTTCCTGCCAAACAGGGCAGTCCGGCAACACACAGCCCCCTGAAGACCCCCTGTTTAAATTCTCTTTTCAGGCGATTGCGTACAATTACGATTGCAGCCTCTCGGTCTCGCACTCGAGGAGAACTGTAAATATTACGTCTTGTAGCGGTTCTTCAGTAAAGCAATGATTATACACAGAACCATAAAGACCAATGCTTAAATGGTTCTCTGCTTGGGTAAATGGATCTTCTCTACGATAGAGAATTTCTTGTACAGTAAAGAACCTTTTTAAGAATGGTTCATATGAAACCACCTAAAAGGGTTCTGCTACTGAGAACCACATAGTACAATATAGAACTGTATCGGCAATACTAAAAGTGTACTTTTCCACTACAGTTTGCTGCTTGTTGATTTTGTCTCCTGCGAGCACTGTCCAGTATAGTGTCGGGACCAAGGCCTGTCCCCTTCAACCCCAGGCCTCCAACGTAATATTATTAAAAAAGGAAATCTTCTAATACTGGCTGAACACTTACACTAATAACAGTTTTAAGTCTAGGTTCCAGACAGGCTTATGCATTCTTAGGGCCTCTCAGTGAGACATTCATATTCCCTTTTAGCCAAAGCTTAACAATTTGATTGTTGATTACATGTTTAACCTATTTACTTATTAATTAAGGCTGTGTTTAATCCAAATCCTTCACCATTAGTCTGCTGAGGGTATCACTTTGAAAGCTGTATTTGAATGAGAGGGCTAAAATTGCGGATCCCATCACAGCAACATAGCTAAGTATATGATGTGCTGCAGGCATATGATGGGCTTCAGCCTGGAGACGAATACAAACTACTAGGAAAGTGTGTTAAATGTGTAAAAAAAAATAGTGACATTAATAAAATATTGTATTAACTACTTACAATACATTGGCTGTGTTTACATTCAAAGACTTTTGCCTATTCGAGTGAATACATTCCAATTATAGATGAAGACTGAGGTGTTTATATCTCACTTTACTCAACAATCTGATGGAAAATCTCTGTTTACATGCTCACTACAAGAAATCAGATCCAAATTTCCGTGTATGCACAGAGCACCACTTAGTGTAGACGTTACCATGACAACAAGCACCATGTGAGTCCAGTCAGAGTGAGACGAGCAGCAGTGAGCAGTACTTGTGTTTTTAGCTGCTTTAAAATGATGTCAGACTCAGGGAAACGTCCTTCACATGTCCTTATTAAAGAAGGCCGAGAGGAAGACGTCGTGATCTGAGACACATAAGCTGGACGTCCGTCCCACTGCCGTCTTTTAAAGCTCAGAGCATAAACTTCGTCTCCTCTGCAGACCAGTTTCTGCTCCGCCATGTTGAATGTTACAAACTGTCACTATGACGTGACGCACATGAACAGAACGGACTTAAACTTTCTGATAGGGAAAGTAATCAGATACAGGCATTTACACGGATATTATTCTTCTATTTAATGGATTATTTACAGGATTACCCACCTCGTTCAGTCGGATAGACACTGTATTCCGAATGGCCTCAATTGACTAGTCTGTTCCGACTGAGGTGTTTACATGAACGTATTCTAATCTGACTGAGCTATTAGTCTGATTATTAACTGACTATGAGGCTGCATGTAAACGTTGCTATTGTTAAAACTCTCTATAAATAGCTCGACAGATGAGTACAAAGCTATTAACTATGTCAAATTATATGAGTTTAAATGGCTTCGACTTTGTGTTGTCATTAACTCAAAGTAGACATCTCCCATAAAGAGAATTTAAGTGAAATCTGAGCCGGCCGAGCAAGCGAGTGCACTGCGGCTGAGGGAAAAAGAGAAAACGGATGATTCCCTGGAGCTTTCGTTGCTGGATTCTTTTCCAGTGCGTTATCAGGAAAGAAAGCTTGACTTTCTCAAAGAAAGCTGCAGGCCCAAAAACACAGCAGGCTGTCTGGAACACATCAGGGAGTAAATGCAGCCTTCTGGCATCCGAAAACGTACTTACTATCAAAGGGAAACAGAGCTGTTCCACTGGGCTGATGTTCTGTGTTATAGAGGAGTTTTAAAGGAGTTTTATATGTATGCTTTGAACTAAGGATCCAGACCACTATGTAATGCGTGTGGAAACTACACTCAAACTGTCATGTGCATGTGGTTCAGAGACACTATTGACTGAGACTCAAATATTACATCAAAGCCTTATATCTTTATTTGGGTGTTTGGCCAACTGCATCTTCCATGCAAATTTATTTATTATTATTTACCTATGCAAATCTCTAGATAAGCACAATAGCTGTGGTTGGTTCCATGTGACAAGGTACCTCAGAAAGGGCTGTTACATGATCTTTAACCATTATTATAAAATGGATAGTTCTGATTGGCTGAGCCAATTGACAAAGCTTTAGTGAAATATTAATATCATTGTGCTGTTTATGGAATAAGCATTGATCCTTATGTCGGTAACCGCAGCCGACCTCACCTACACAGCTTGGAGGAAGAACAGTTTATTGCAATTAGTATCAATAATAAATTAAACTCTGAAGAAAATGCAGTGATTGTGTAGCTTAAGCAGTTCCCAGGTTCCTAGAGTGTTGCAAAAGGTTTGGGTGGTTGCTAGGGTGTTTATAACAAGCTCCCACTGTATCCCATGTGGATGCTAGGTGGTTGCTATGGAGTTCCAGGTGGATGCTGTGCTATCCCAGGTTTGCTATAGAATCTAAGGTGATTGCTAAGGTGTTTAGAACAAGTTTCCATTGTATCCAATGTGGTTGGCTAGGTAGTTGCTATGACGTTCCAGGTGGACACTATGCTATCCCAGGTGGATGCATAGAATCTAAGGAGGTTACTAAGGTTTTACTAGGTGGATGCCGTGCCATCCCTGGTGGTTGCTATAAAATCTAAGGTGGCTGCTAAGGTGTTTATAACAAGTTTCCGTGGTATCCAATGTGGTTGCTAGGGTGTTGCTAGGGTACTATGGTAGTCCAGGTGGATGCTGTGCTATCCCAGGTGGTTGCTATAGAATCTAAGCTGGTTGCTAAGGTCTTGCTAGGTAACCATATAATTCCACCCTCCATTCCTATGGGACCAAAAACCGTAATTCAACGATGATTAAATAAAAACCGTACATCCAATCAAAAAACAGTGCTCAAGCACACCATTTCTGATCAGACCAAACCTTCCAGGGTTGGAACGGTGTGTTTCCAAGCTGTCTGCTTACATGTATGTACTGAAACACAGCAAACCCAGTGTGCACACTTACGCTTCAGGATGTTCCTCTGTTCCAGCTCCTCTGCTGTGGGTCTTTGGCTCAGCCTCCTGCACAGAGAACAGAACACATACGTGTCATGCTTGCTCAGTATCTTACATGTTGCATCAAGCTGTGAGTTTGGTTTGTCTGAAAATGTTAGAGTAAATAAAGGAATATGTTGGTCAACGTACGTTTTGTGGGAAAATAGCCATCCAATGTTAATAGGCTCTAATGTAGCAGCTGTTTACAAGCAGCTCAAAATAAGATATGAAAATAAAGGTTCTTAATGGGTTCCTGGTCTAGACATAAGGTTAGGACGCTGAGAATTTTTATATTATAAGAATGTCCTTTAAACATCTCATTTTATTTTAATAGTGCCACATAAATTATCTATAGAGACTCTGGTCAGCCAGGCTTCCTTCCATGTATAATGACTTGATGGAAGAAATAACATCAATTAATAATGTCAAATAAATTTAACCTCTTCAACTCTTTGAGACCACCGGTGGTTCCAAAACACACGTCATATTCTTCATAACTGTCATATTTCATAAGCTACATTCAAAAGGTGAGAGCTGTAAGTGTCTTCTTTCCAGTCAAATAGATGGGTGATGTAATTTTAAACCCTTATAATAAAAGAAGCTGAACTCACAATGTTTTTTGTCTACTGAAAGTCGACCCATTTTTCCACAAATCTGGGCTGTAAACTATGAACAGATGGCGTCTCTTCAGTGATCTGCTCTGTAAAAATGATTTTTATAAAATAATACAAAGTGCGTCTAAGATTTCTGGCTTTCAGCAGTAAATTGTAAGCATACAGCAATATGTGATCATAAAACAGATGTTCTGTTAATTTGAGGGGAGCTTTTACAAAAAAAATAAATAAATAAAATAAAAATTTACATTTATTTCATGTTGTTACTGAATAATTTGCCTTACGATTTGGTCATGTAAATTCAGATGGACAAACCAAAATATACCCTGGAGAATAAGGTTAAAAGAAAAACAGCCAAAATTCGCGAATAGTTGGTACATTCATTTGAGGCCAAAAAAATGTATGCTAAAGAAAAACAAATGAATGAAATCGAATCATATGATCAGGTGTTTTTTTGTCCAGCACTTCCAAATAATAAGAGGAGACAGCATATAGCAGCGAACTAATGAAGCCATTTTATTTACTATCCAAAACCATCAGTGAACCCACACAAGCCTTCTGGGTTTTTATATACAATGTCGATGGTAAAACAGTTTTCTTTGAGGACTATTTTGCCTTACAGCCCCCCTTGCAGGTACCTACAATTCAGTGTTTTCATGACAAATTTTGTGTAATAACTTTCTGTGAGGGACCTTTTGGAGGCATTAAACTCTTCAGACATCTGGTTCCTATCACCACCACTTTGAACAATTCTGACCCTGTAAGTTTCTCTAGAACAGAGCATTTCACACCAAACGGCTCTGAAAGACTTTAGTTACATCTTAACTATTAAAATGGGTGGAATTTCCTTTTAAAGAGAAGGTGAACATGGTCCGTGTATCTACAGTGGACCCTCAAAACAAAGTATTACCAACTTTAGAATGGTTCTTCACATGAACATGTCCCTTTTACAAAAACAGTTCTTTTAACTTTTAACTTTTAACTATCCACTGAAAGGTTCTTCAGGGAACCAAAAGGGGTTCTTCTACGGCTGCTCAAACGAACACCGCTACTTTTAAGATTGCATAGCAACAGTAAATGTGGAGACTGAACCAATTATGTTATCGAAACAATCCACGCCAAAATGAAGATCACTGAAAGAAACGGCGTCAGAATGGGGTCGTGGGCTGAAAACTGCAAAACTCCACAGAGCATTTCACATTTGGGACTGGAAGCCCCAACAAACAGCAACGCTCTAACCCTCAGGCTAACTGCAGCTAGGACGGCTAACAGCGTTGGTGTGATACGGAGCGACAGCCAGGCCGTTATCTAACGGAGCGTTTGACTGACAGTCTGAGTGACAGGCCGAGCTGTGCTGCGGACGCAGCTTTCGCTACAGCTCGGGATAAACGTCCATTTTGTCCTTGAGGGACCCCAGGGGTTTGCGCTAGAGTTCTTGTATGTGGGTGCGAGTGATTTAGTGAGCATTTGCTGCACTGAAACTGAACACTGCATATAAAAAAATAGAAATGGGATTGGGATTTTAACTTTTCTGCACACAAAGAGCACATTCGCTTTTCAGCTTCGGTCGGTTTTATTCAAAGTGGCTTTATCCACAAAAGAGCTTAGCATTTCCTCTCTTCTTCTTTGTTTACTTCTGCGTCCTGAGCATTAAATGAGTGTTGAATTATTGATGCAAACTTCAAACAAAACAAATCTGATATAGGATTCTTTGCATATCAGAAAGTTTTTGACAGTATACAGACGACAGCGTACAGCAGGCTTCATGTGCTGCATATACGGTTATCTTACTGAATGTATTATGAACGTTTAACGTCTCACTGCGTGTTTGTGTGAGCTGGTCTAGGGCACACGGCAACACACTGCCAGCTGTCTGCCGATCTGTCACCTGCAAATACGCTCGGCTCTGCTCAGCATTGCTCTTAAAATCAACGTGAATCGGAATACTGACACATGCTACGGAGATCTTAGTATATTTTAAAGGCAAAGGACTTCAATATCCAGTACCACTGAAACATTCTGCACAGTGGGGGTTCCCAATCCCAGTCTTGGTGACGCCACACTATGCATGCTTTTGTGCTTCGCCTCATTTAGGATCAAGAATTCAACCCATGAACTAACTAGCTCCTTGTTGGCTGAGTCAGGTGTGATGGGGAGGGAAAACTCAAAAATGTACAGAGCATGGAGTCATCAGGACTGGGATTGGGAAACCCTGCTGTAGAGAATAACATTGTACAAGAACAGACATCAAATTATGAAATAACACAAACAAAATCATAGGCAATCCAAACTTCTCCATGCCCAGCTGTTCCCAAGCCAACTGTTAGATGTAATCCCTCTGTCGGATCTAGGATCTGCCTCTGGGTCTCTGGGAAATGGGACCTTCCTGGTGGGAGCCAACCAGGGGGCATTTTTAAAAGATGCCTGAACCAACCTCAACGAGTTCCTCTCAATTCCCAGGAGCAGTGGCTTTATTCCAAGGCTCTCATGGATCACCAAGCTCCTCACACTATCACAGACAGCAAGCCCAACAACCCTACGGAGAAACCTCATTTCTGCTACTTGAGCCTGCAACCTTAGTCTTTCAGCAACTATCCAAATCTCATGACCACTGACGAAGACAGAGATGTAGACTGACCCGCAGGCCGAGAGCTTGTAGGCCAAGCTCCTGCCTCCCTATCATAAACTGGTCCTCTTCAGTCGGTGCCTACAGGACGACACAATCTCTAGCCCTCCATACTGGCCACCTCTCTCCAGCCCTGGCTGCACCTTGATATCCTGTCCATGAAAACCACAAACAGGAGTGGAGACGAGATGAATCCTTGACGAAGTCTGACATCCACCATGTGTGCAACTACACCAAGCATGTGGACACAACTCTCACTGCACTTGACGTGGACTAGATTGCCTGGAGTAGCATCTCCGAAGCTCCATACTCCTGCGGTACCTCCCACAGCACTGGTCAAGGCAGACAATCATGAGCCTTTTCCAGATATACAAAATAAGTCTGAATTGGAACGGCATACTCCCATGACCCCCTCACACAGTCTGTTGTTCCATGGCCTGGGAAAAAATTGACTACTGTATGCAATCTCCTCTCCAGCACCCTGGCGTAGGCCTTTTTTCAAAAAAGCTTATAAAGTATAAAATAATTCAGATTCCTCAGAGCAGCCCCCTTCGCCGTCATGCAGCTTTGCTCACTCTTGGCATTCTCTCAGGCAGCTTTATGAGATGCCACCTGGGATGTTTTTCCAGCAGGCTCGAAGAAGGTACATATTTGTGGAAAACTCAATTTTGGGAAAGCTTAAAAAAAAGATGTATAATGAATACATTTTTTGTTTCAAAGTAAATTTACATAGGAATAGAAATACATAGGAATCAGCTTCGCCATTAATATTTGCTTCAGAAACAAATGTCAAGCATTTACAGGAATGGTTTGCAACATTTTCTGGTATGGTTCCCGCAACTGACTTGAAGCTTGCTTGGAACTAAGCTACAACCGTCTCAACATGAAACAGCCAATCAACCGACACGTAACTGACAATAAAAGGAGATCCTGCTTATTGACTTTATGTAGGGTTGGTAGTTTTTGATTGTGTCAGTTTCTTGAGCAATGATAAACCAAAAGGAGTTGACCTTAGCGCTTCTGTAACCATCTAGCCAGCTAACTGTATACTGTTTAAATGGCAGATTGTGCCAGATTTTATTAAATGTTGGCCTGTTATCATGATCTACATGGCCAGATCATTCATTTTCTCCTTTCCTGATACACCCTGATTTTGAAAGTAACAAAAGAAGAGACTGAGATGTGGTCCTCAAACTTGCGGTGCTCCTTGAAATATGAATTGATCTACTTCTCTCTCTTTTCTTTAGCCAGTCCGTCACCCACACTCGCTCAGCTTTTTTAGGTCCTTTATCTTTGTCTAGCATATTTACAAGTACTAGACCAGTGATAGTTCTCTTTCTGCTTTTTGATACCGTCAATTTAAATGATGAAAATAGCGGAAAAAGGTGAGAAAAATGGTACAAATACGCAAATGCAAACAACACAGGTGTGGATATACAGTGAAATGAAACGATGCATTACAAATACCAGCAGTTAATCTGGCTAACCAGTGAATGTGTTGCATGCAACTCTGTTTTTGAACCGCTTTGTGTAACTATCAAGTTATCAAGGACAAAATTTATATGGCACGCAACTCCTAGTACACAACTAGTTGTTTAAAATATCAACTGTGTATTTTTCTGTTAGTATATCTCGACGCATAAACGTGAATCAAATCTGCTGATGTGCAGCACTGAGAGCAGAACTCGCTCTAACATGTGCATGTGTCTGCACGGCAAGACGTTGTTACACAACAGCGCACAACCCTGCGGAGTAACCAGGTTACGTAAGCAAGAAGGACCCAAAGTGACAGCTGTTTGCTTATTTGCTCGGCCAGCGGTCCTGCGTATTTTGAGAGGTTAAAAGTGAGGTCAAAATGTCCCCCGTGAGCACAAAAGACGACTGACGTCACTGACATCACATCATTCATGGCTGTCCGCTTCAATACTGCCTGGTCTTGTTTCTACCACATGCACTGTGTTCTCTGCACACATAACATACATCTACATGCTTATATGTTACATCCATGTGCTAAAACCAGGCTTGCTGTTCATCAGACAACGTTGACGAGTGCTCCAACACAGGGACGCAGGCATGATGTGGTTTGGGTCAGGTTGGGTTTAGAAACTTTATTGGACTCGAGTTGGTTTCTGACACAAAACCTGATGATGTCGTTTTTTTAAGTCTTAATAATATCATCAGTTTCTGCCTCAAACTATGATGTTCAGGTTGGGTATGGACAGAATTTTGTTGGAATTGGGTCAGGGGTGGACTCAAAACTTGATGTTTGGGTCAGATCCGGACAGAATTTTGTTGGAATTGGGTCAGGGGTAGACTCAAAACTTGACGATGTCTGGGTCGGGTTTGGACAGAGTTTTGTTGGAATTGGGTCGGGGTGGACTCAAAACTTGATGACGTTTGGGTCAGATCCGGACAGAGTTTTGTTGGAATTGGGTCGGGGTGGACTCAAAACTTGATGATGTTCGGATCAGATCCGGACAGAACTTTGTTGGAATTGGGTCAGGGTGGACTCAAAACTTGATGATGTTCGGATCAGATCTGGACAGAACTTTGTTGGAATTGGGTCGGGGTGGACTCAAAACTGATGATATTTGGGTGTCTTGGAACTGGGTCAGTTTCTGACTCAAAACTCAGTCTCAGAGAGGACTCCGGATTTTCTGCCTCAAACACGATGCTGTGTGTCATGTTGGGTCAAGCTCTGATGAAAACATCTTGGGTGGTATTCAGTTTCAGACCAACATTCCTGGCCCGTTTAACTCCACAGATGTTCTATGCATGTGACTTATGATCCTTCATTAACATCTGCAGGCTTTTTACTGAGTAACTAATATTAACACATTTTACTCGGTAACTACTTTTCTGCATTCAGTGCTACTATAAACTGCTGGACAAGTACTAGGAACTTAAGTGTGGGCCCCCATACAGGCACTTGCAGTTAAAAAAGTTCTACTACCCGGTCAGTATCAGACTACTCATGAAAACAATCGGCCTCCTTTACTTCCTAAAACCCACCCCCAGTTTTTACGAAGATTCTGACATTCACCGATGTTTTCTTATTTGGGATTTGTTCTTAGGTAAGACCAGAATCTACACACACTAAGAGCACAAAGGTGAGAACAGATCTGTGGTGTAAGAACAGGTCATGAATCAAATGCAGACTTTCTCAGAACCTTTCTCAGCATCACACAAGAGAAAACTTCAGAAGATATCAGAGAATGAGGCCCAATGGTGTTGATGCAACCCTAGTTATCATCACTGAGCCACATGGCGCACACTGGCGTCAGCGCGGATTCGGCAGCACTGTCCCTGATGGCGGAGTATGTTTTGCTGGCAGAGTGCTTTGGGACGGTGACAGCTGCCTCTGAGGATGAGGACGGGTGCCAAGGCAGCGTTCCAATAATCCCTCTGCTCCCCTCTGCTCTCCCTTTATCACACCCCAATAACAGTACTCACTTGCGCTGAAACATTCCTGTGTGTTCAGCGTAGCTGCCATCAATCCCATCAGTTTTTAATCTCCTGCACTTGTCAAATCTGTCCGCCATCAGCAGCTAACTACGTAGCTTAGGGGAGTCATCGTGCCATGTCCCCAGCTTTCAATAAGACTTGCTAAATCCTATTTGTGGCATCATATCAAGCTTATAAAATTGCTTACAAGTGCAGAGAGACAATTGCACTGTTTCCGTAAGGTAATTCTTCTCTCTATATTCATTTTAATTTGAACGTATCTGCTTTTGTGAGGACGCAAGGCCTGATTTAGCTTGTAAACGTGGTCTGTTTTTCATATTAGCTGAGACATTCAGCATTTTCCAACTATGTTCATGAGTTGCTCAATGTTCAAATCATTTGAATTTTAAGGGAAAACACATCTGGTCCCCGATCTTGTTTAGCTAGCAGCAGTCATCGAGCATCAGTTTTCACTTTCCTTACTGTCTAAAGCTTTTCTGAACCCTCTGAAGAGGAAAATGCATTGAACTGCTTTAATCTAGTTTAGCTGGCAACAGCCAAGGCCGCACTGCTGCCATGATGAGTCACTGAACCAGAGAGAGTGAGAGAGAGTGAGAGGGGAGGAAAAAAAGAGAAGGACAGAGGGAGAGATAGAAGAGTGAGAGAGAGGCAGTGGGAGGTCTGAAATTAGGTCAGCTCAGTTTTTACCACACTGGTTTTAATAAGCCAGTTCTGCACGGGCCGCTGCGGTGGTTCGGTGATGACGGAGCTCGTGCCGCCTCTGATGACTCTGATGGTTTTATTCACTGGGACATTTGCCCACTGAGTCAGAGGCTCATTGATGGAGGCATGAAATGACGCCCTGTGGCTGAGAAGGGTTTTAGGAGCCGATTTAGGGATTTGTCCCAAACTCACGTGTCTTTGTGAGGCTGGGTTAGTTTGTGGTGCACGTGTGGACAATTGTTTACAACAACAAGGGTTACCTACAGGATCAAAAATGTTTTTCATATCTTAAAATCTTTTTGTTTTGGTTACAGGGCTTAAGATTAGAGTTTAGAGTTTAGAGGTTTAGAATAAGGCGTAGACAATTTGTATCACATTCAGAAACTTACAGCACTGTGTAAATGTCCAAGACCACCCTTCATTTATTTAAATTCCAGTCAAAACGATCAAGTTAGTGATTTACCAGAAACAGGCAGAAAACACATTTAATAAAACAACTGAACTACTAGACATAATATCAATATCATAATATCTGCAGGGCTATTTTTCCACGCCTCCAAAGTTCAGTCTTAAAAGTTGGTTACATTTTCTGAGTAATCCCACATTCAGTGATGTTGAGGTCTGGACTCTAAAGTGGTCAGTCCATTGTTCTGAGAACACCAGCAGCTTCTTTGTTTGATGTGTCCTTTTCTCAGTGAGGTCTTTTTGACAGCTACACATCCTTTCAGACCCATTGTGTTGTCTTCTGGCAGCGGAAGGATGGACAGAAACATGCTTTCAGATTTGAAGCAAGAGTGGAGCTTGATTTTCTCCTCTCTCTTAAAGATGAAAGGCGTTAAGTGCTGTTTATCTGATGTGGACGTGTTGGTGGTCTACCAGCTTTTGTAATCTTTCTCCTTCCTTACGCAAGTGGATTATCTTATATCTCATCTCATCATTTGATGGCCGTTTTTATTTGAGATAAATTAAGCAAAGGGTGGTCATTCTGTGGACTTTTGAACAGCACTGTATAAAAACAGCCCTGTATGCGTAAGTGAGTGTGTGCTCACCGTGTGAGTTTGGTGCCGATCTGTTGTCTGGACTCGTGTCTTTCCTCGTCCGTCTGCATGGGCAGAATGTTTTTCTCCTCCAGCTCTCTCTTAGATGGCCGGTTACTCAGCTTTATAGCTAGAGAGTCTTTCCTCAGCACCTTCCGGGCTAGTGTACCTGAACAGACAGACACAATGAGTAAGAGTCAGAGTCATCTATTACACCTACTGTTCCTAAACCCGCAGATATGGTGGACATACTGTCTGGGCTGACCAATGGAAAAAGGTTGTCTCATGTCATGGAAAACTGAATATTCCTTGTTTTTTCTTCAAATAGTCGCCTCACAGCAAGAAGGGCCTGGGTTCGATTCCCCAGCCGGGCGACCAGCGTCCTTTCTGTGTGGATTCTGCATGTTCTCCCCGTGTCTGTGTGGGTTTCCTCCCACAGTCCAAAGACATGCAGTCAGGCCAACTGGAGATGCTAAACTGCCCCTAGGTGTGAATGTGTGTGACTGTGTATATCTGTGTATCTGCCCTGCGATGGACTGGCGATCTGTCCAGGGTGTTTCCTGCCTTCCGCCCAATGACCGCTGAGATAGGCTCCAGCTCCCCCCGCAACCCAGAAGGATAAGCAGTTTAGAAAGTATGTGTGTGTGAAAGAGTTGGGGGTGTAAATAGTGTTAAAGGTTTATAATTTATAGTTCCACATATGGACACTAACCAGTTCTGAAATCACTGTATTTGTTATGGCACAAGACAGCCAATCAGAACAAAGATCATTTATATGTGGTCTAAGATTACACAGAAAAACTGGTATTTTTCCATTTAAGCCTTGAAATAAACAAAGTTTTAGAATTTTGATTTTTTTTTTTCATATTCAAGTTCATATTTAAAACAGGAAACAGGAAAAGGAAATATTCAAAATTCTGCACTATTTCTGAGCCACTATTCAAACTGAAGCAAATTTGTGAAATTGATCATGTTTAGGCCTTTGAACAAAAAAGGTTAGATTTTTTTAGTCTTATCTCTTCCACTGCAGCTCAGACGACTCTCAGAAGGATTTAATCTACTGATCAGAGGCTTCTGCACAGCCTTATGGAGTCCAAGCCAGCTTGAGTGCACATTGTCATTAAAGCAGGCAAGAGGGACAAATCAAATACTAAAACATTCTCAAATTCATATAAACATTCAAATGATAATATAACACTATTTGATATGAAACCAATCCTACTGCAAGCTGTGTAACACCATTTAGAAACACATCTCGCAAGCCAGACTGGGTAGATTTCAAGGACTGCCATCTTTGATAGGATCTGACTGGATTTGTGGAGTATCAGCTTCAAACTAAACTAAGTACCTACAGCTTCAAACTAAATTCTGGAATAACTTATATAAAACAGGATAACATAAATGGTTCCGGGTTCAGAGAGTTGGCCTGTATCTCGCTCTGAAAGGGTAACTGGTGTGTAGAGATGCAACTGCTTGTTAGTAGCATTTGGCATGATAAATTATTGTATGTTTCCCATTAGACTAATAATACCAGTATGTGGAGACATGGATATCCAGAGCCAGTTTAAATTCTCTGTGAGAGATAAGAATCTGAGAAGTGGTGATTTTTGCGTGCAGTTTACATCAGACAGTCTGTGTACTTCTGTGGGCCTTCTGAGCCTTCTGAGTGCCTGAGGCTCAAACTTACTGAAATACAACCAAAAACTCCTGTAGTGCACATCTCACACCTCAAACCACAGCATCTGCACCCCCCACACTCTTTTTATATGGTCATGTCAACCAGTCAACTACTTTTGAATAACTAGAATGACTAGTAATTTACATTACAATTTACATTACATTTACATTAAAAGTAAAGAACAGCCTTCTCATGTAAATCTCCTGTAAATCTCCTGTAAATTAGCCATTTTGGAGATACTTGTGTAATATATCCGTGATCTGAATACAAATACCAATTTTTACTTTGTACTTTGTGTAATAATGTGGTTTGGTGGGATCAGAAAAAAAATCGTCGGGCTCAGGTCTGTTTCGGACTGCTGTGGGTCTGGCTGGACAGAAGGTTCTTGGGCTGTATTTGGGTTCAGACCAAAGTTCCATGCCTGAGTGAACCTCTTCCCCCTGAGGTACATTACAAAGCTGGATCCCTTAACTAATAAGCTAAATAGAATGCTTCTATTTAACCTTTATTTTTGTAACTCACCCTTGAAGTTAACCCACAAACACCCAGTTATTCAGGTTCACAGTGCATAACTGACCCAAACGTCCACTATATCTTCTGATATTTGAACAAATGCACACTTGTTGCGCACAGTAAGTTCGATAAGACATAGACTAACTTGTAAAAAGTGAGTCATCATCTTCTTCGTCATCCTCGTCATCCTCCTCCTCCTCCAGTTCATCCTTGTACATGCTGGGCAGGTCCTCGTAGTCAGACTCATTGGGCATATTCTCTTTGTCATCGTCACAGTCGATCACCACCGTGGGCACTGGCCGGCCATCCAGAAGACCACACTGACCAGAGTGCAATGCAGAACTGCCAAGAAAAGAAAACCAGGGCTGTTTCACCGCAGTCATATGACATGTTTTGTTGATTTTCGAAGTGAAAATAAGTCAACACATCCTCTACAGAGAAGAAGCGTATATATGCCATTGTTCTGCACATTTTTACTGTACAATTTCTATTTATTTGCTGAGTTCAACATACTGGAAGAAAATAAAACATAAAATCTAAAATGTGCCAAAACTCATGCGCAGACCCCATTTTATGTATGTGTGTGTATACACCCACATAAAATGTGCTCTGTGCATGAGTTTTGGGACATTTTAGATAATAAATAAATAAATAAATAAACAAACAAATAAATAAATATACACACACATTTACCATTTCATGTAAAAGCATTAACTCATTTAGAAGTTGATGGCAGCAACGCATCTCAAAAAAGTTGGGACAGGGGCAGCAAAGGGCTAGAAAAGTGAGTGGTAATAATATAAAACAGCTGGAGGAACAATTTGCAACTAACTCACATGACTATATGAGTAATGGGTATAAAAAGAGCATTTTAGAGAGGCAGAATCTCTCAGAAGCAAAGATGGACAGAGGTTCACCAATCTGCGAAAAGCTGCATCCAAAAATTGTGAAACAATTTCAAAAAGTGAGCCAGAAAAATGTTGCAATCCACAAAGTTAAAGATGTATAATGAAAAGAAGAAGCCATGTGTCAACACGATCCGGAAACGCCACCTTCTTCTCTGGGCCAAAGCTCATTTAAAATGGAAAACTGTTCTGTGATATATATATATACACATACATATACACACACACACACACACACACACAAAGCAAATACAGTTATTGTGAATTCAAATGTGCAGAAGTTATTATTATGAAGAACTTCTTTTACTTCGGGTGCCACTGCTCGCCGTGCAAACCTCACCCCCACAATCTGACCCCACTGATGCTGCTGCTGCATGAACTAAACTATTCAAATTAATCATTTGCTCCACCTTTTACCCTGTTTTTGTACTATAATACTTTATACTAACAATGTTTACTATCCGGTGTCGACCAGAGGAGGATGGGTTCCCCTTCTGAGTCTTTGTTCCTCACAAAGTTTCTTCCTGTTTCTCTTAGGGAGTTTTTCCTTGCCACTGTTGCCACTGGCGACGCTCATGGGGGCTTGGACCCGGATTTCTTTCTGTAATGCTCATTTCCTTGTAAAGCTGCTTTGTGATAACACCTGTTGTAAAAAGCGCTATATAAATAAACTTTACTCACTTACTACTACTTAGAAAATCAACATGTAAATTAAACAGAGGGTGCCAAAACTTTGGCATATGACTGTACCTTTAAACTGCATTCAACTAAACATCTAGAAACATATATTAAATCAACCTTAATTAACTTTAATTTTCCCTAAACCTAAACTCAATGTAGTTTTCCAGATAATAAAAAACAGAATACAGAATTCTCATCATACAGTAACAGTATCACATGATGATTTAAGCCAGAGCATAACCACACACGCAGTTTGGCCCTTGTTTACTACCGACCCCTCTTAAAGTCTTCGTATCATCCTTGCATGCTTATGTAAGCTGTTTGATCATTTCTGTAATAATCTCCTAATTGAGTTAACTGTAATTATGTTCTGCGTTAATTACAGAAAAGTGGTTGACGCAAGGTGAATCATCCCGACCCGGACCACTCGCAGACCCACCGGTTAATTTCATAACACACTGTTACAGACTGACGCCTGAAGACACGATGCTATAAACGTGCGTCCACAAATGCTGCGTTCATTTCCGAAATGAGCTTCGACGATCTGTGGGAAATGAGCAGGACGCAGTGACGCATCCCTACCAGCGAAATCCAGATTAGCGAGCCATTCATTTGCAGATAGCCACAGTTAAATCTGTGATAAGCCTTTTTGAATGCATTCATAATGGGAAATAGAAAAGGGATAAAAAAAAGAAAACTAAAGAAGGCAATTAACGGCGGTGAAAGAATTTGCAGTCGCATCCGTCACACACAGAAAGAAGTGTGGCCGTGTTAAACAGAACAATCTCAAAAAAAAAAACATGACAACATAAAACATGGATAAATTCCAAACAACACAAAATTACCCCCTAAGAAAATACCACATAACTGCATCCGCACCTCTGTGACCTGATCTAAATAGAAGTGCTACACTCCAAACATCACATAGTTGGAATTTATGACAGAGGCCAACAGAGGAGAAAAAAAAATGAAACAATAAAAAACGCATAACCTGGTGTGAAAAACGTAAAGGGATGCTTTGGCCAAAATGAAAAACACAACCATCACTTTGTCTGTTGTAAACATTTTTACTCACATGCTCCAGCAGTGCAGTTGTAGCCTCTACACTCTCAGAAATAAAGGTACTTAACTGTCACTGGGGCTGTACCCCTCTTGTCACTGGGGTGGGACCCTCAAGGGTACATCTCAGTACCTTTAGTCAGGGAACATAATTGTACCATAATCCACTGAAAGTATATTTTCTAAGCTGTACTGACTCCACACACCCCGTCTCGCCTCCAGGCTTTTATTTTATAGTTCTGTTTTAAAACATTCGGTTATGAAAAGGTACAAATATGAACTTTTACCTGGAAAAGGCACAGAATTGGATCTTAAAACCACTGTTGTATCTTTGAGGTACATTTACATTGTTTGTACCTTGATTAATGAAAAAAGAACCTCCACAGAACCTTTATTTCTAACAGTGTAGTGTGAGATTTTCCAGTTTAAAGTCTAGAAAAAAACACTTTTGATGATGTATTTTTAGAGTGGGAGAAACTACAATAAAAGCTTTTTTTATTAGCTGGTGAATGCAGAAGGAAGACGAGACAGCTAATATCACTCCTAGGATGCCATAAAGGTAAAAGCTAAAGTCAGTGAGGTAGCTGGCTATTCAGATACCTCAGTTTAGCTTCAGTAATACTGACTTGATGACTTGGCTTTTACCTTTTCCCCTACATCCAGATATGTTAAGCGAAAGGTACCAAGGGATGTCTTCATCTCGAGGCAATCACTGTGTCCCATGATTGCTCTGCAATGCCACCTAGATTGTCAATCAATTCAATCAACTAAATCAATTTAATCAACGGTCTGATCCTTTAAAAATCACTTGGCTTTAGTAATGCAACTCAACTCGGACTGCAGCCTCAGAGCCAAATCACAGACTTTATCTCCAAGTTGAAGAATCTTTCAAGAATGAGGGCTGTAAACACGCCCCATGCTGTTCAGACCAAACTGGATCTCTGGTCTGTTATGCAACAGGCACTAGCTGTGGCACTAGCAGGCTGGCATCAGGAAGAGACTGGCAGTGTTTGGACTCTGTGTCACTTCGCCAGCCTGTACCCAGTAGAGCCACAGAGAGGGCATCACAGTGCCCAAGGTCTCTCAACGGAGGGCTAAGTGGGCCACTGAGTCTGTGGTGGGTTCGTTAGCTGGGTCACCCCTCTGAGCACCACATTAAACCAGCATGTTACTGTTGTGGCCTGCTCTCATTCTGACATCTAAAGGGAGCAAAGATAGCCTTGTAACAGTCTCACATACAGTCTCTGATACAGAAGGATAGCAGACAGAGTCAAATTCTGACAGCAAATGACCACAAAGCCAACATGAAACAACATCTTAATTCAACCTTAGACAGAGCAAAGCTACTTACTTAAAAAAGATGGTTCATCAAGGGTTCTTCAGTTAAGAAGTGGTTCTGTATAGAACCACTTGCCTAATGAAAGCGTTCTTCAGATTGATGGAAAATGTGATGTAGATGATCGTATATAGAATCTTTTTTGAAAAGGGTTCTACATATCGCACCAAAAAGGGTTCTTCTATTGTAACAAGCCTGACATCGTTTACAATAGAAGAACCCTTTTTGGTGCGATATAGAACCACCTACAGCACATTCTCCAACAATTTGAATAACGCTTTCATGATGCAAAGAACATGTTAATCATGCAAAGTGTTCTTGAGACCCTAACAGGGTCTCATTTCTCCTTATCTAAACAGAGTAAAGTTAGACTGTAACAGGGTCTCATTTCTCCTTATCTAAACAGAGTAAAGTTAGACTGTAACAGGGTCTCATTTCTCCTTATCTAAACAGAGTAAAGTTAGACTGTAACAGGGTCTCATTTCTCGTTATCTAAACAGAGTAAAGTTAGACTGTAACAGGGTCTCATTTCTCCTTATCTAAACAGAGTAAAGTTAGACTGTAACAGGGTCTCATTTCTCCTTATCTAAACAGAGTAAAGTTAGACTGTAACAGGGTCTCATTTCTCCTTATCTAAACAGAGTAAAGTTAGACTGTAACAGATCAAAACAGAGTAAAACTAGCCTGCATCCAGACGGAAGTGAATAAAACCAGCCTGCTGCAGGGTCTCATTTCAACTTAACAAAAAACAGAAAAACTAGTTTGTAAATGAGTGTCATTCCAATTTAGCAAAAGAGAGCAAAGTTAGATTGTAGCAGGGTCTCTTTTTTTATCAGTGAAAAACAATAGGCTAAATAACTAGCCTGCAGATAGAAATTAGCCAAATTAGCTAAACTGGCACAGAAACGTTTACGTGCATTGCCCCAGTGAATCTAAACGATAAATAAAAAATAAACAATGTATCAGCTAGTGTTTTTGAGTTCTGTTTAAAATGAGCTAAAATCACTGTTCGCTGCTGAAACATCTGGTAAAGCTTCAGTCGTGTTATGACTGTTTTGACAGCAACTGAATGGAATGTTCAATCATTTTAATGAAATAAACACAATCAAAGCAAAAGGCTTTTAAAGTCCAAGTCAGTCAAAAGCCTGAAATGTATTTTCAGGTCTGACTTAGAACCAGATAGGTAGATCCATATACAACCATAAGCAAAAGGGGCACCACTGTTCACATTACATTTAGTTGACTTTCTATGTGGGAAAAAAACAAACTTCTGCACTTTTTAATTCACAATTACTGTTTATTTGCTAAATTTAACATACTGGGGAAAATGAATTATAAAATGTGGCCTGTGCAGAATTTATGGCACATTTTATATTAAATGATACATTTTTAATATGTTAAATTCAGCAAATAAATACTAAAAATCTGCAGAAAAATGTCACTGAAGTGTTTCCTGTAGAGGATGTGTTCTTTTATTTTCACTTAGATCAAAACAACAAAATCTGACCAGGGGTGTAAAACCTCTAGAAGACACTGCGCTCACCTCTCGAGCCTCTGCATGGTGAGCGCCAGCGTCTTGTTGAGCTCCTCGATGATGCGGCTGGGAACGCCGCCATACTGCAGCTGGTGTGGGTGGCCGTGGTGTCCCCCAAGGCCTCCGTGGTGCATCAAGGGTGCGCATTTCTGGGGGTAGGTGGCTAAGGGGTTCGGGGAGGAGACGGGCGGCTCCAGGCCTCCAGACGGCACACAGATCATCACTTTCTTAGGAGGTAGAGGAGGAGAGAGCTTCCCCTGCACACAGGGCAGCTTCAGGGGCTGGCATGGCTCTGAAAACAAACAAAATACATGAAGAAAGAAAAGAAGATGGAGCAGACAGACTTAAGAGGAGATATTCCAGATGTTCTCTAATCAACAGTCCTGCATCCAAATAATTAATAGCACATAAATAGTAAACAGTTAAATATTAATTAGTTGATACCAATTAACTACTGTGTACAAATATTCCTCAACTTGAATGATAAGCCTGCCTATTCAAATAGTAACTGTAGTTTATTGGAAGTTAAATAACATTAAATTAACTTTTTTTTGTTTTTACTGGCATCAGTCAGTTTTTATCAGTTAACACTTAATTGCTGTTAATCAATTAATCATTTACACCCTTACTAACTGTTTAAATGTCCATCCATACACTCTCAATCTTAACGAGCATTTCACTGCTGTCAGAACAAACTCGTATCTCCTAAATGGTAACTTTACAGGAGAAGGAAAAAACATACTTCACCTTTAATGTAAGTCAATGGAACCAGACTTTTTGTCCAAGTAATTTTGAGCTATTTCTTTTGGTCCATTCATCATGAAATTTACAAGAAATCTAAAGGGCAACAGGCCTTTTCAAATTATGTCAAAAATTGAAAAACGACAAAAATTAAAGATACGAGGTTTTATTCCGACAGCAGCGATTTGCACTGATAAATTCTTACATTCTTCTGAAATTCTGGAAAGCGTGTCCTTTGGACAGGCCAATCGTCTCCATTTGATGACCCTGCATGGTTCTACCGATCATTTGGCTGGCGGTCCTGTTCTGGAGGGGGTCATTTCAGGAAAGGGCCCCTAAATCCATTGACGTCATCTATCTCAGCTAAACTAACTGTTACTGATACTCGGTAATTCATTAAGCAAATGTTCTAATGCTCACTGAGGCAATGTTCCAACACACGTTCCCTTATCAACTATAAATTACACAAGTGCTCATCAATTTCCAATTACACGATTACATAAGGCCTGATTAACTTTCGAGAGCCGCGACTCCGACTTTGGTAGGAAAACTGCTTTTTTAACATTCTTCACTCTCACTGTGTAGAACAGAATGTCTCGCACACCAAGAACGAAGGATCAGCGGTAACAGACGCCACCTCACCAACAGCAGCACACTTATGCATTAATAAACCTCTTGATGTGCTTTTAAATGCTGTATGCTGCAAACCAGAAATGCTACACTACGGATGTTTTCCTCACCATCACCATCTACATTTAATCCAGACCGAAAGTACTGCATGTAAAGGCAGATTTTGGTCCTAAAATAGGTTGAAGCACTTTAGTGGCGGACAAGGAACAAACCTTATTATCCACAGACTGCTTTGATCTTACTGAACTAAGTGTATTAGGCTAATCAAAGTAGAAAGCATGAAGCCAACAGTGTCAACAGGAAGTGTGTCCCTAACCAGAGAGTGAGTTCATATTAGGACACAGCAGTGAAGTCATTTCCAAGATAAAAAACCAATGGAACAGAAAGACTATAGCCCTCTTTGGACTGGATTAGTTTACCAGAGGGAGCAACTGAAAAAGACGTTAAAGCTTATTAAAGTTCAGAAACCAGTCCTGTGTAATGTGGTGCATCAGAGGCGCTAATAAGATGTTAGTTATTTTAACATGAAAATGATGGTGCTTTCTAAGAATAATTTACAGAATTAAGTTCAATAACTACGCAAATACAAGTCATGTCCTAAAATGGTGCACATTTCTAGGTATTTTGACTTTTGGTTAAAAAACAGTCCATACCAAAACCATAATACCAAAAGACCAATGTGCATGAAATTTGGCAGACATCTTCCTTTGAGAAACCCACATCAATTTTAAATTAGCTGCTGTCAGAACAAAACCTCATTTTTCAAATGCCTGCCGCTCTTTACATTGTGTGTACATTACATGATGAATGGCACAAAAGAAACAGCCCAACCAAGTCTGGTTTCATTGACTTAAATTAAAAGTATGTTTTTTTCTTCTACTGTAAAGTTACCATTTTGGAGATATGAGTTTTTGTTCCGACAGCAGCAAATTGTAAAAACTTTGCCCATCATTAGTGTCTACTGGCTCCATAATGGTGCATCTTGCTTGGACCCCAATGATTGCCACTTGCGACAGTTGTTAGGCTCTCACAGCAATTGCGCAAGTTCACAGAAACAGTGTTCATTAATTTCAGACAAACAACTAAATAGAAGCTGTTTGTTTTGGTTGCTAACAGTGAAAATTTATACATATTAACATATTAAATCATTTTTTACGCCACTCAGAAGCTGCTGAAGAAAGAATATCTCAATATGTCAAAAAGAAACCAACTTCCCTGCATATGAAACATGACTTGCTTTTCACTTTTTGGTAATATTCTCATAGTTTTGTTTGAACTTAAACACTGTTTCTGTAGTTGAGCTGAATAACGAACTGCTGCTTTTCCCACAGAATTCTCTGTTGTCCTTCACAAAACTAAAAATCACTCTCTGGTGATCATTAAAAACAGTGCATTTTGCCAAAAGATTAAAAGTTTGCATGTGTGTGTAATAATATTTTTCATCTCCCATCTCCTCAGTGATAAAAACTCTCAAATCCTGATGGCAATAAAACTACAGAGAGAGCTTCTAGTGGGTTGTATTTTCTACAAACCCAGATGTTCGTGTTACATGTGGTCATATTATCGAGCTAAAAGCTGATGAAACTGGGCATGAGAAGTCTAAAGCATTACTTTATACTGTAGCTGCTGTTATAATTGCTCGTTGGATCCAGGTAAAAGCATTCTTCCCCTTTTTTTTTGCATGTTTAACGTGGATGTGCATACTAGGAAACTAAAGACGGCAAGCAGCGGCGGTCAGAGGCAACATCTATCTGGGAAATCAAGGTGATGTGTATCCGGACAGGATTAAAATTATCAGACCACCGAATTTGGTGCAAAACAGCAGAGTTGTGCTTTTAAGTGGAAATTGCTTCAGGACTCTCATCCAAATCAGGCTTCACTGATTTAATTTATTTTTCATAATTCAGATCTATTTATATACTGAGTTAAGCACTCTCTCTCACACACAGTCAGCTAAAAAAGGAGAATCAGATGGGGATGGAAGCGACTCATGATTCAAGAATGAGAGAAAGACACTACACTGACTTCAAAACAGATGATAATAAAACCTTATTATCTGATGAGCCATCAGCAGGGCTAGGAAATCACCATATATGGTCACTTCACAGGCTGCTGATATACAACAAAGCCAGCTGTGTATTTACTAGAACTTAATTCAAATTACTTTAGACAGCGGATTAAAAGGGCAGGGGTCATATTTTTCACCCAAATCAAGCTGTCTCCGACATTAAGTACTGCACCATTAAATAATTATCAAACTAAATCACCTGATATACACCCACTGGCCACTTTATTAGGTACCCCTAACTTGTATCTACCCTCTTTGTCCATTTATCAGGTCCAGAATATACAAGTCAGAAACCAGCCTTCATTTATTTAATTTCCAGTCCACACAGCCATTAAATACAAGTTTACAAGCCTCAGTATTTAGTGTGTCCACTTTTAACCTATATTACAACTTTCATTCTTTTTGGGACACTTGGAGAAATCTGTAAGACTTTCTTCCACACATACAAAGTTCAGTCTTAGAAGTTGGTTTTGCATTTTATGCTTCTCACAATTCATACACACACATTCAGCGATGTTGAGGTCTGGTGTGGCCGGTACTTTGTTCTGAGAACACCAGCAGCTTCTTTATTTGATTTGCAATTGTTTTGTCTATTTTCTTTTCTCAGTGAGGTTCTTCCTGACAGCTACACATCCTTTCAGACTCATAGCATTGAGTTGTCTTCTCACTGTAGAAGGATGGACAGAAACACCTTTTACCCTATTCATCAATGGCCAGAACTACCACTGGGCAGGTATTATTTGGGACAATATGTAATTGTAGAACTAAAAAGTGCACCTATATGGTAAATGGACCTTACCTTGAAGGTACAAAGTAGGTGCACTTAATAAAGTGGCCACTGAGTGTCTGCTGTATATCAGTCTGGTATAGATGCCTGTTCTGAACACTTTGTTGACAATGAGAAGCAAGTCGCTAGATTGGAAGGCTGGTTGTAGCACTGTTTTACCAATCACCTCATTCTGGTGGTTCGTCATTTTGAGTCCCCTTCCTGTCAAAGCAGGCGGCCCTTAGCCACACTGAGCGACAAAACCCTTCAGATTCTCTGGCTGTGGTCATCTGGCTTGTGAGACTAGGCTAAACTCGGCTCTCAGATTAGAACTGAAAACACTGATGTTAATATCAGACTCTGACCTTAGTATAGAACAGTCTCTGTCAATTGGTCAATAAATTAAAATAATTTCAATTAATAAAAAATCCATTCCTTTGTAGAAAGGCTTCCTTTGGCAAAAAATTGAGCCAGCAAACTTCTGGCAGAAGTTTAGCAGGTTCAGCACTGTGCTCTGCCTCACCTGTGCTGTGGTTGGACAGCCGGGGAAATGGCTTTGGGGGCAGTGCAGGCGGCTGCTTGTGGTAGAGTGGAGCTTTGGCAGGGTTCTCCTGAACGTCCCCTGGAAACGCAACCGACTTCTTAACAGGCAGAACCATGGATGACTTTAAGGAGGGATCCTGAGGACAGACTCCGCCCTCCATAGAGGCCCGGAATTCAATGGTGGCTGCAGGGAAGAAACAAATGAATGCTTTGTGTAAATTAAACTTTTCCAGAGTCAGTGTAACTTTCATTTAGATACATGATCAGTGTTTCCACACAAGCACAAAGAATGACACTTAAAAGTCCTCAGTCCAGATCTCAAACCTCTCAGAGCCTCGACGTGTTTTAGAAGATGTTCAAAAAGGCAAACGATAACAAGAATCACTACAGTCTGTGCTGAACATTGAGCACCGTACATGTACATGAGGTTTGAGACAGATCACACAAAAAAGCAACATCTATATTAGAGCTTTATATTATATATTAGGGCCTGAAACTGTGGGTCCAAACCTGAATATGGCCCATTTCAACCCAATCCACACCATCAGGATTAGAATCTGAACCAGACTGTAACCAGAAAAATATTATGTCCAAAGTCAAGTGTAGTCTGACAAAATCCAATCCCGACTGTATCCTCACAAAATTCCATCCGAACTCAACTGTATTCAGACAAAATTCTGTCCAAACTGTTTAAGGTGTTCAGAAATCTGCATGTGAAATCTGAACACAACCCGAGTCTGACAAATATTTGAGAAATTCTGTCCAAACCTGACATATATTTAAGAAATGATGTCAAAACCCGACAAATATTTGAGAAAATATGTTCAGACCCAACAAATATTTGAGAAATTCTGCCCAAACCTGACAAATATTTAAGAAATGATGTCAAAACCCGACAAATATTTGAGAAAATATGTTCAGACCCAACAAATATTTGAGAAATTCTGCCCAAACCTGACAAATATTTAAGAAATTATGTTGAAACTCAACAATTGTTTGAGAAATTATGTTTAAACCTGAAAAATATTTGGGAAATTCTATTCAAGCCTGACAAATATTTAAGAAATTATGTTAAAACCCAACAAATATTTGAGAAAATACGTTCAAACCCAACAAATATTTGAGAAATTCTGCCCAAACCTGACAAATATTTAAGAAATTATGTTTAAACCCAAAAAATATTTGGAAAATTCTGTTCAAACCTGACAAATGTTTAAGAAATTATGCCAAATGCAGACAAATATTTGAGAAATGATGTCCAAATCCGACTGTAACTTGATGAAATTCTGTCCAATCTAAACAGCAACATGGCAAAATGGTAGCCTGACAGAGGTTTGTGCTAAACTCGACTGTATGCCAGCAAAAGTCTGTCCAAACTCAGCTGTCACCTGTCAAAACACACACACACACACCCCTCATGGACCTTGGTGTCACAATGTGAGTGACAGACTGTGTAAGGTGAAAACCTTCAGAAGGAAGAATGAAGCAGAGAGAAAAACTAAAAGCAGGCTAAAATCTATTAAGGCCAAAGTCAGGCTGAGATAAATCTGCACGTGAAATTTGAACACAACCCGAGCCTGGCACACATTTGAGAAACCACGTCTGACCCTGATGTGAATGGCCTGGTTCCATCAGGTTCAGACAAATATTTCAAACTCTATTCATCACTCTTTACCATCAAAACACCCTTTACCATCACCAACACACAACTGAAGGACAAGGATTCACTGGAACACCAAACTCAAGACACAACCACGCGACTGGCCGCAGCAGAACAAAGCGCATTAGGCAGCTCAATTAACATCTCTTATCAGCACAAAGAAAAATCAAAAGGAGCGGAGAAACAAAAACCGTCCCACAAGCTCGACTCATTAAGTAGCACCCTTTTGATGCTTTTGATCATTTTTATGCAACTTAATTATCTTGACGGGCTGGAGAGCAGATAGCGGGCCAGCTGTGGACAGTGCTGCCCGAAGACAGTCCTTTCAGTAATAGTGGCCTGATTCAAATTCAACCTGCATAATTGGCATTTCGGTGCTATGCAGATGCCTTTAGCCAACGATGCAGAGGATTGTGTGACTCACGCGTGCTGTTTGGTCTCTCGCCACGGTTTAAAGGTAATTTCTCTCGACGGTAGAACCCCACAGCTCTTTCCTCTCATTTGAAGCGTTTGACCATTTGAGGCTCGAGTGGCTGAGTAGAACAACTGAACTCCATGCTTTAATGGCCGGTTCATTAGTGAGGTGCCTTTAAACAGCTTTTTCTTTAAGTATCAACACTTTACCAGTAAATTAATCCAAGTAAGTGGCAGCAAACAGCACACAGTTTTAAGCAGCAAAACAATAGAGGGGTACTGGAGTCCATCTGTTTCTCTGCATACCTCAGTAGTCAGGACCCCCATGGACCCTCACAGAGCAGGTACTATTTGGGTGGTCGATCATTCTCAGCACCTCAGTGTCACTGCTGGACTGAGAATAGTCCACCAACCAAAAATATCCAGCCAACAGCGTCCTGTGGACAGCGTCCTGTGACCACTGATGAAGGACTGGAGGATGACCAACACAAACTGTGCAGCAACAGATGAGCTATCGTCTCTGACTTTACATCTACAAGGTGGACTGACAAGGTAGGAGTGTCTAATAGAGTGGACAGTGAGTGGACACAGTGTTTAAAAACTCCAGCAGCACTGGAGAATGATCCACCACCCAAATCGAACCTGCTCGGTGAGGGTCCTGTTTGGGTCTTGACCATTGAAGGATGGGGTAACAAAGTATGCAGAGAAACAGATGGACTACAGTCTGTAACTGTAGAACTACAAAGTGCACCTATATAGTAAGTGGAGCTGATAAAACAGACAATGAGCGTAGAAACAAGGAGGTGGTCATAATGTTATGCCTGATCGGTGTAAATCTCCCAGCCAGACACAAGCCATAATAACAAATACGTCATCAAAATATCATCCTCTTATCCAGCAATTGCTAAGGACTGTACTCGGCCTCGCCCTGGCAAACTGCCCAAAAGCTCTCTTAGCATTTCGACCCCGTCCCAGGAAATTGCTGATACATTTATGGGTAAAATTGTAAGGGCTGAGGTGACTTTATGACAGACTAACACACAAACACTACCTTAAAGTGGAAACATTCTCAGCCCCCTCAGAGCTTTAGCATGTGTGTAAACTAATCAAGTATTCCACATTTCCACACAAATTAATCCCTGCTGTATTTTTCGCCGTCACCCAGAGTAAACACGATCACACTCACACACGCGGTAGCCCTCTAAGAGCTTTAACGTGTGTAAGCTGATTAAACGCACGCAGCCAATCAGACGGCAGATTTCCAAAGGTTCTCCACGATGCCAAAAGAAAAATTAAATGAGAGGAGGAAGAGGAAGGAGAAAGAACACCCATAATCTGTTGCCAGTCAAGACTTTGAATCAAGCACACCGCAGCCTTGAAGCTCTTAAATGAGCTTTACATAAAGAAGTGTGAATCAGACCCGGAGGTCAAACGCAGTGACCTTCAGAGCAGCTCCCCATTCTCTCACACTGAAAGGAATGTATCAGCCAAAACCACTAGAATAGAAACAGGGGGCCTGTGTCAACTCATTAGCAACGTTAACTGGACATTATTAGCTTTCAGCCATTATTAATGATGTAATTTGTGGTGTAAACGTTTCACCCTTTTTAAAATGTTTAACAGATTTAATGTGTTTGGATCATATGATTTATGCTCACTCAGCACTTTACCAGGCACCACTTACCATAGTAGGACCCCCATAGGACCACCACAGAGCAGGTACTATTTGGGTGGTGGATCATTCTCAGCACTGCACTGGTGTGTTAGTGTGTGTTGCGCTGGTCTGAGTGGATCAGACACAGCAGTGCTGCTGGAGTTTTTAAACACCTCAGTGTCGCTGCTGGACTGAGAATAGTCCACCAACCAACAATATCCAGCCAACAGCGTCTTGTGGGCAGCGTCCTGTGACCACTGATGAAGGACTAGAGGATGACCAACACAAACTGTGCAGCAGCAGATGAGCTATCGTCTCTGACTTTTCATCTACAAGGTAGACTGACAAGGTAGGAGTGTCTAATAGAGTGGACAGTGAGTGGACACAGTGTTTAAAAACTCCAGCAGCACTGGAGAATGATCCACCACCCAAATCGAACCTGCTCGGTGAGGGTCCTGTTTGGGTCTTGACCATTGAAGGATGGGGTAACAAAGTATGCAGAGAAACAGATGGACTACAGTCTGTAACTGTAGAACTACAAAGTGCACCTATATAGTAAGTGGAGCTGATAAAATGGACAATGAGCGTAGAAACAAGGAGGTGGACTTAATAAAGTGACCAGTGAGCGTAAACAGGTCATTTACAGAGAACAAAGCAAAGGTTTCACTGTGTAAATTATTCCAAGCTATATTTAGTGCCTTCTGTCATGCAGTGGTTACACAGCAATTGCTTTTATAGCAGAAAACAATGGAGTCTCAGCGTGCAGCTCTGTGACCACTGATCTAAAAATAACACCAGCTGTCCTGGAGTCTTCAAAAGTGCCGACAACTACTTTACAAAACGAGAGAGCGCTCATACTGGTGCTGCTATTTCGTTTCAAATGAGCCACTAATACTGTAATGACACTATTAAAACATTAAGGATTTCTCATTTAGAGCAGAACTCAAAAATGCTAGCCAGTACATGACCAGCAAACACAGATTTGAAGAGCTGTACACACATAAAATCATTATAATTTCATTAAAAACACAAAAAGTTTGCTTAACTGCAGAAAATAATGTGTTTCAGTGGTGACAATTCTTAATGTTCCACACTGATTTTCAGATTTTACTTCAAAACAATGGGATCTAACCATGATGGACAGGGATGCAGTCTCACTTCCTGCTCTAAAATGGAGAGGTGTGGCTCAAATAAGGCTCCACCTATGGACTAAAACTGTTTCAGTAGTGACATGAAAACATAGTAGAGCAGGAATCAAGTTTTTTATTTTAAAATTAAACTCATGATAAATCTAAATCTTTCAACTTCACTTTACAAGAAATCAAAAAAACAAGGGATTGGGATTTAAGACAGACCCTAACCCTAATCCCAACAGAAAGCACCCTAGAAATTATGATTTTTTGCATATATTTAGTTTATTACCATCTTTATTACTATCTCTATCTACTACAATGAATGCCTTGGATTCATGCAGATCATTATATACATATATATATATATATAATATATATATATATATATATATATATATATATATATATATATATATATATATATATACACACACACACACACACACACACACACACACTGAGGGAATAGAGTTTGATCTAGTTCAGTATTCACTATTTTACCATCAACATTCTATATAAAACTCATGATGTGTTGGTTCACTGGTTGTTCAGGACAGTAAATAAAATGTCTATATTAGTGTTGCAGACATGGTGACCCCTGGTTCCTATCAGCACCACTGTAAAGAGATCCGAGTTTGTTTTCTCTAAAATGAACCAATTCACATCAAACCACTCTGAACTGTTTTTATGTCAGTGGTCAAATGATGCAGATATTTTCAAAAAAATAAAAATAATTGCTGGAATTCTCCTTTAACAGAAACCAACAAACCTTCTACTAAATGCTGGGAAACTCGTCTGCAGCCCTGCAATATTCTTATTATTTACAATAATTCATATTGAGTAAAAATTACAGTTGCGAACCGACAATCATATTTGACAATCAGAACACTCACCTTTCTCAAAGATCTCCTTCAGAACTCCTCGCTTTATCAGGTCCTCTCTGGTGTGCCTTGCAGACATCTCCCTCTCCAGAGCTGTGGACACAAACAAACAGAACGGTTACTACTAGCTCTTTACTGGCTGCACAGTACACACTATGTGAACACCCCTCCTAATTACTGAGTTCAGGTGTTTTAGCCACACCCACTGCTAAAAGGTATGTAAAATCAAGCACATAGCCTTGCAATCTCAATAGACAAACACTGGCAGTAGAACTGGTCATACTGAAGAGTTCAGTGATGTGGCTTAGTCATAGGGGGCCACCTTTACCCCAAGTCAGTTTGTGAAGTTTTTGCCCTGCTAGATTTGATTCGGTCAACTGTAAGTGCTATTATGGTGAAATGGAAGCGACTAAGAGCAACAACAGCTCAGCCATAAACCAGCTGACCACACAAACTCAGAGCGGGGCAGCCGAGTGTTGAAGTGCATCATGCATAAAAAGCCTAAGACCACTATGTGCAATGCCAAGCGTCAGCTGGAGTGGTGTAAAGCACGCCACCACTGGACTCTGGAGCAGTGGAACGTGTTCTCTGGAGTGTTGAATCACGCTTCACTATCTGGGAGTCTGATGGACGAGTCTTGGTTTGGCAGGAGAACACTACCTACCAGAACACATAGTGGAAACAGTAAAGTTTGGTGGAGGTGGGATAATGGGCTGGGGCTGCTTTTCAGGGTTTTGGGCCCCTTTAGTTCCAGTGTAATGTTAATGCTACAGCATCCAAAGCCATTTTAGACAAGTAAAGCTTCCAACTTTGTGGCAGCAGTCTGGGGAAGAGCCTTTCCTGTTCCAGCATGACCGAGCCCCTGTGCCCAAAGTGAGCTCCATAAAGACATGGTTTGATGAGTTTGGTGTGGAGGAACTCCAGTGGCCTGAACAGAACCCTGACCTCAACCCAACCGAACACCGTTGAGATGAACTTGATGGTTTGAGATGGTTGGTTGAGCCAGGCCTTCTTGTCCAACACCAGTGCCTGACCTCATAAATGCTCTTTTGACCGAATGGTCAAAATTCCCACAAGATCTTCAACAAGCTCATATAGGTGTGATAGTCTGGTGTCCACAAGCTTTTGCTCATTTAAATGACATGGTGACTATAGTGCTCCTGTTCAAGGTGCCGGCATTTGAATACAGAAATCACTACTTAGATATTTGTTGAGTTCCATAACAGGAAGATGGAGAAAATATACATTCTAACAATTCAGCGAAACACTGGCTGTGCAGTGAGATGAGACACGACCCAGACAGCAAAGAAACACTGAAACAATGATGACTCATCATCCAATTCAAAACAGACTGAAACATGACGGTTAATCAACTCCAGTTCAACCTTTATCTAAAGTCTAGTTGCTTCAGTGTTAAATCACACATTTAATCCTGTTTTTTGTACACCAGGACTTCTAAATGTCATTTGACCAGGGGTGCCCAAACTTTTGCATACAACTGTAGGTTTGTTGACCTACTTACATTCATTACTTCATGCAAACATCCTGATTCATTAAAACACCCACACTCATCACAAGCATGTCAGAATGATCAGGAGGTTCACAGCTCAGAATTTTTAAACTGTCATTTGCTCAGAGCTCATTTACATACAGCATCTTCAACAGCATCTGCTTTGTAGAACCCAGTTCTGAGGTGCCGATTAACACACGCTGCAATGTAACACACAGAACTGTTACTTCCATCTCGCTCTCCACAGAGAGTTCAGTAATCTGAACTGTTCTACTGTTACTAAAGGTGGCCGACATGGCAACAGCGTTATATCATGATATATCAAGACATGTTCACGATACGCAATATGTATCACAATATTTTATATATTTTTGTTTTAAATTTTGTTTTATATACACACTGATCAGGCATAACATTATGACCACCTCCTTGTTTCTACACTCACTGTCCATTTTATCAGCTCCACTTACTATATAAGTGCACTTTGTAGTTCTACAGTTACAGACTGTAGTCCATCTGTTTCTCTGCATACTTTGTTAGCCCCCTTTTACCCTGCTCTACAGTGGTTAGGACCCCCATGGACTACTTGGGTGGTAGATCATTCTCAGCACTGCATTAACACTGAAGTGTTACTGGTGTGTTAGCGTGTGTTGCGCTGGTACGAGTGGATCAGACACAGCAGTGCTGCTGGAGTTTTTAAACACTGTGTCCACTCACTGTCCACTCTATTAGACACTCCTACCTTGTCAGTCTACCTTGTAGATGTAAAGTCAGAGATGATAGCTCATCTGCTGCTGCACAGTTTGTGTTGGTCGTCCTCCAGTCCTTCATCAGTGGTCACAGGACGCTGCCCACAGGACGCTGTTGGCTGGATATTTTTGGTTGGTGGACTATTCTCAGTCCAGCTGTGACACTGAGGTGTTTAAAAACTCCAGCAGCACTGCTGTGTCTGATCCACTCAGACCAGCACAACACACACTAACACACCACCACCATCAGTGATACTGCAGTGCTGAGAATGATCCACCACTCAAATAGTACCTGCTCTGTGAGGGTCCATGGGGGTCCTGACCACTGAAGAACAGGGTAAAAGGGGGCTAACAAAGCATGCAGAGAAACAGATGTACTACATATTTATATATATATATATTTTTTTTTCCCCAGTATATCATAATTATGCACTAAATTTGCATAATGTGTAAACGTTGGTATTCAACTGTGTCATTATTTTATACAGTTCTTTTTACATTTTCATCCATGCACCATCTAAAATAAGGCTATTATTATCGGTACAGGGTAATTTAACCACCACTATCATTAGGAATATAAGGCTTAATTCAGCAGTTTGGGTGATGTTGGGCCAGTTCGAGTCAGTTTCAGCCAGAATTTTCTCAGGCTTCGGTCAGTTTTGACCGCAAAACTTGATGTGGTTTGGATCGAACTCTGAGAGAACATTTAGGGGCCGTTTTCAGGTTTGGGACAAAATCTCAGGCCCAAATAAAGCTCAGTTCCTTTTGCATCCAGGCCTGCTAACTGTCAGATCTAGAACAGTAAGACCCTACACGACCCTTCCACTCTATGACTGTACGGCAGTCAGCGCGTTTCATTACGATTTCATTTTATTTCAGTAGAATGGAAAAGATAAAAGTCAGCCGGTGCTGCAGTGAGCACAGTTCTTACAGTAACGCCTCAGATTGCAGCAGCCAAGTCCCAGCAGCACCGCTCTGCTATTTTTAGACCGTAACAGTTGAGGGACTTAACTTTTCTCCCCCCACCACCACCACCACCACCCCCCCACTGCTCTCTGAAACGAGGCAGTTTGTCGCATTAGTAATTTCAGAATCTGCCCCTGCAAAGGAACCAATTAAGAATGTGAAAGAGCATTAGCACTTCTGCTTGCCATGCACGGTCCTCCCCTGCAGGCTGGAGGATGCTGCTTCAACAGCACGGCTGAGGACGCGGAGATGATCAGAGAGAGGAGGAGTGGCGCATGAGCGTGCACGTGATGTGCATGTGAGATACGCAAACGTGCACGTGAAAGAGTACAAGCTCGTGCACGTGTAGGTGCAGGATGCACATGAGGAGACCATGACCCTAGAGTTTCACCTGGGAAAAGGCACACTGCCATGTAAACACTCACCCTCATGAGAGAGATGAGCAGTTCAGCAGACTGAGATATTTAACGATTCAGAACTTGGTAACACTTTGAGTGGCCCTTTGTAGATGATTAATAAACTCTTAATTGAGTATCAGTAACACATCAAGAACGTATCAGTGAAGTAGCAGTAATGCAGCATCTGAACACACTGAAGTAAATATCCTGTGGATGTGCTGTTGATACATTACTTACATTAAGTAATGTTTTATTGATATGAAGGAATTCAACTGTATATGGTACTTCAATTACACAAAACCTAATCTTAACCTTCACCCTGACTCTAATCCTAACCCTAACCTCAAAACAAAACCAAACCCGAACCCTCACCCTGGCCCTAATACTAACCCTAACCTTAATCTCAACACTGAACATAATCCTTAACCCAAACCCTGATCCTAATAGTTATCCTAGCTTTAACGTCAACCCAAAACCTAGTCCTAACCCTCACTCTGGCCCTAATACTAACCCTAACCTTAACCTCAAACCAAAAACCTAATCCTAACCCTCACCCTGGCTCTAATCCTAACTATAACCTCAAACCAAAACCTAATCCTAACCCTCACCCTGGCTCTAATCCTAACTATAACCTCAAACCAAAACCTAATCCTAACCTTAATCTCAACCAAAAACCTAATCCTAACCCTCACCCTGGCTCTAATCCTAACTATAACCTCAAACCAAAACCTAATCCTAACCTTAATCTCAACCAAAAACCTAATCCTAACCCTCACCCTGGCTCTAATCCTAACTATAACCTCAAACCAAAACCTAATCCTAACCTTAATCTCAACCAAAAACCTAATCCTAACCCTCACCCTGGCTCTAATCCTAACTATAACCTCAAACCAAAACCTAATCCTAACCTTAATCTCAACCAAAAACCTAATCCTAACCCTCACCCTGGCCCTAATCCTAACTATAACCTCAAACCAAAACCTAATCCTAACCCTCACCCTGGCCCTAATCCTAACTATAACCTTAACCAAAACCTGAACAGTACAGAATGGTGTCAGTGAGTCTCTTTCTTCCTCTCTCGCTCTTCTCCCTGCCCCCCACCCTGTTTACCCCTTTCTTTCTCCTTCTCTCTTTGTTCTCTTGTTCCTTTTTATTTCTCTCTTTTTTCTTTCTCTCTCTCTCTTCCTTTCTCCATTCTTTTGCTCTCTTTCCCTTTTTCTTTGTCCCTCGCTCCTTCTCATTCTTTCTCGCTCCTTCCTTCTCTCTCACTCATCTTTTTTCCCCTCTCTCTCTTTCTTTCCCTCTTCCTTTCTCCTTATTGTTCTTTCTTTATTTCTCTCTCTCTTTTCTCGCTCTTTCTTTCTCCATTCTTTTGCTCCCTTTCCTTTTTTCTTTCTCCCCTGCTCCCTCTCCTTCTCATTTTTTTTCTCTCACCCTTTCTTTCTAACTCACCTCTCTTTCTCTCGCACG